TAACCATCAAAAAAGTTTACATTGTACTTCTGTCTAATCTCAGACTCCATTCAAGTTCACCAGTTGTCCCAGTGAGTCATAATAGCAAAAAGATACAGTTCAGATTTGTCATTTTATTAATTGTCATGCTGCTTTATTCCCTTTAAATCTGGAAAAGTTCTTCAATCTTTGATGTTTATGACCTTAAAACTTCTGGAGATGAAGGCCAGTTGTTTTGCAGAGTGTACATCACTGTGAGTTTGTCTCATGGCTCCTCGTGCTCAGGTTGAGGTTCTGTATCAGCAGGAATATTACCAAAGTGGTGCTGTGTCCTTTCCATGGTATCCTGTCGGGGGGCACACGATTTTGTCTTGTCCTATTACCGTTGGGTGTTCACTCTGATTCTTTGGTTAAGGTGGTCCCTGGAAGACGCCTTTCTCTCGTATAAAAAGTGTTTTGATGTCAGGTACTTTGAGAGCCTATAAACGTCCCCATTACTCATCACTCTTCTGGTTATGGCCTTCTTCGGTGTGCTGTAATCCAGTTCCTATTATAATTTGTTTTAAAGCTCAAATTGTTCCAGATTTCTTGAGTAGAAGCCCCTTTAAGCTGGCTTCTGTATTTTGATGGCACGTCTCCATTATTCTTCGAGTACTTTCTTTTTGGCACAAGAATATATTCCAGGCTCATCTTGTGCCTGCCTTTGCCCTGTTACCAGCCATTTCTCCAAGGAGTCCTTAACAGTGGAGAATGGTATTAGAAAGCAAGATCTGGGTGCTGGCTCTGGTTATTGCCATCGGAGTACTGCTGATCTCAGGCCCTGTCGATGGACAAAGCTAAGGAGAAGATGTAATTATGTGTGAATATGTATAAATGGTTATATATACCCACTTATATCCATGTTTTCAGTCCATCTGGAAAACTATGAGTTCACACTGGTAATTCTAATTTCAGTCAAGGCCGGAGTGCCCATTCTAGTTTTCTCTCTTCCCGTACTGCACTCTCATTCTCTGACAGTGAGGAACCTGGTTCCCATTATCCTGATCCTTCCCCTCTATGACCAACCACTCTTCTGTTGCCTCTGTAGCCTCCTCCAACATACGGGTGCCCTCCTCGGCCCATGGGCTCCAGCACCCTGCCTTGGGCTTCCCTGCAGGGCACCCTGCCCTCCCTCCCCTGCCCAAGCTTCAACCTACCATACCAGGCAACTCCCAACATCCCTGGTGGACACCATCCTCCTCACCCCGCTCAGACTTATCCCAGGCTATCCCTCCCTCAAGTGGATGCCCTCTCTTCCTGCCTCTTCTTCAAATCCATGCACGGGGCCATTGTTCTCACTCTGATTGGGCTCTGTCAGCCTGCAAAAGACCTCCCTCAGTTCCACCCCAAGCCTGTGAAGCATGTACGGATGAGCAGGAAAACATCTACAGTCTTTTACATAAAAAATGTTTAGGAAGAAAACACTGTTTTCTCTTAGGGAATTGGAAGTGTCTGGAGTTAGAATTGCATATGGCTCTGAAATTTCATTGACAAATTCATTGAACATAAAATTTTTGAACTCCTGCTGAGCACCAGGCACTGAGCGAGGCCCCTAGGGATAGAGCAGTGAACTAGGCAAAATCCCTTCCCTCCTGAAGCTGCATTCTCTGACTCGGGCTGTTGAAGCTTAGGCAAGTTAGTAACAAATTGATAATGTCTCTAAGCCTGTTTCCTCATGTCAGAGGGAAATAGTTGTAATTTGCCCCTGGGGGAGTTGTGAAAATTGAATAATGTGTGTTAGTTACTGTCATAATCATCACAGAAGCAATATACAGATAGCTCAGCTGAAACATCATTCATCACTCTAAAATTTCATTTAATAGTTTGAGGAGAAAGCAAAAAATTCCTTGGAAGAAAAGTGATATCTATTCTTCAAATTATTTCTCCTTTCCTTTAGCATACTTTTACCTAAGAATAAGCACTTCAGTTTAAATTGTATGCTTGTGTGTAGGCCTGTTTCCTGAGTCTTAGAATATAATATAAAAGTGTAAATAAGCAGCATGACACTTGTTGTCGTGTTTGAATCAGATGACAGTTTCATAGATGGGTCTTCATGGGGCCTGAGAGACATGACATATTCATATATTTCACAGTTAATGAAAAGATCATTATTATATATTATTAGAAACGAGACCATTTTGTTGCATGGTAATTTAAGTTATAAAATGACTTTTTTGTTGTTTTTAAGGGAGGGTAATGGCTTAATATTAAAATTCATTTTCTTTTTAATCTTACTTGCTGGTATTTGAACCTAAATAATGACTTAGGTGCTGAAACGGATACATCTAGTAATATCTATATTTTACTATATTAGTGATGTTAAATACATAGAGCATGTAACCTCTAAAACTCTAATAATTTGCCCTGGAAGCCGTGCCCTCTGTCATCAGAGATATAACAAGTCTCTAATATTTGCTTCATTTTTTAAAAAAAGATTTCATTTATTTATTTGACAGAGAGAGACACAGCCAGAGAGGGAACAGAAGTAGGGGGAGTGGGAGAGAGAGAAGCAGGCTTCCCATGGAGCAGGGAGCCCGATGTGGAGCTCGATCCCACGACTCTAGGATCATGACCCGAGCCAAAGGCAGACATTTAACAACTGAGCCATCCAGGCGCCCCTAATGTTTGCCTTAATGTATACAGTACTCTTAATGAGGGAGTGTTTAGGGATGGGCAATCCTGATTTACTTTACAAAATATAATTAAAATTAGTGTGACATTTTGTATATGTGTCGCTTGTCATTTAATGTTAGGAGTAACTGTTATTTAAGCATATGGTGTAATCATAAAAAGAACTCTACGAATGCAGAATGAAATACAAATCCCCATAACTTTAATGGCCTAGGGAAATCTTACTCCCTAATTTCCTTCGGGGTGCTTTGATAAAGGTAAAGGCCCACACTTAATAATGATCATGCTAGAGAATTATGACAGTATCTGCTAATTGAGTGATTAATTGAATAATTAGTTTTAGCGTGTTCTGCCAGCTAGCAGAACACAACTCACTCTAAGACAGAAATGGGTTAACTAGGAAGAAGGCTTATGAGTAGACGGTCTGAAAAGAGGCGAAGGAGGCAGGGAAGATGAGATGGTCTGTAGAACCCTGGAGAAGAGCTCTGGGGGGAAAGGAAAAGCTCTCTAATGCAAAGAACTCAGGAGTATTCGGCAAAGCAGTAGGCAGAGAAGATAGCCATATCATATATGGCCATATATTTTGGCCATAAAGATTGACAGGAAGTGGGAAGGTCATAAGGATCTAATAATATGCTTTCTTTTCTTTTTTAAGATTTTATGTATTTATTTGAGAAAGAGCGGACACTAGCTGGGGGGGGAGGGGCAAAGGGAGGAGGAGAAGCAGACTCCTCATTGAGCAGGTTGCTCAATGGAGCTCCACTCAGGGATCGATCTCAGGACCCTGAGATCCTCACCTGAGCCAAAGGCAGACGCTTAACCTACTGAGCCACCCAGAGGCCCCATAACATGCTTTTCTAATGTGGAACACATACTATTACTGAAATGTACTGTAATTCTGTATAGGAGATGAATGAGGAAAGGAAAAGGGGGTACGGGGCAAGAGATGAGGGTAAATAAGGAGTGAACTAGTCAGCCAGGAGGTGAGTTGGCAGTGTGGGATAGAGAGTGGAAAGGGAGAACAGTAGAGGGGGAACGAAATAGAGAAAGGAGAGAGTGAGAAAGAGGATCATACCTCCTTTCTGGATTTGGTGGACTTTAGAATTATTTGGAATTGTCCTTTGAGATGCTCGCTGTGGCTTATATTTCTTTGGAGTTTTGTGGTCAAATTTTTAATAAGTATGTTTGCTCTAGGAAGAGTTTTCCTTTAAAGTTTCAGGATTTGTTTTTGTTTTTCAATAGAGCAACCACAACAGCCTGACCTAGGGATATGATTCTGTGGGGTATATTCAACAGCTAGATAACATCAATGTTATGAAGAAATGAATCAAGACAAAGGCCAAACTGAAGATCTGCATTCCTACACTAAACTCTGTGGTCAATGTTGCCATTAGCTTTTATCATTTCAACATTTGTCATCTGTGTTTCAAGCCTGATTCTAAATGTCAGGGATGACAGGATGCTTAGGACAGTGTTCCCTCCCGCCTTCTAGGATCAGGCTGGTTAATGGGAAAGACAAGTGATGGGTCTATAGGAAACGTTTCGGCAACATGGAGAGGGAGTTCTGTGAAAGAACTGTGCCTGTAGAGGTAAAGAGAGGTTTCCAGAGAGTGACCTTGGGTGAAGTTTATATAAGGTGAAGGTTAAGTGGAGCCTTGCAGGAGGAAAGTTAGAGTTGTGCAAAGGTGCTGGGGTGTAAAAGAGCGCATTTGGTTAATTACGGGCAGTTTAATGTGATGAGAGCATAGAACACAGGTCGTGGGAGGGAGAAGGGAGTAATGATAAATGAAGCAGAAGCAGTAAGAGGAGTTTGAGGCCAGATTCTGAAAGATTGTAGGTGAAAGAGTTGGATAATGTTCACTAGGGGTATGATAACCTAGGGTAGTGGTGGTAGAAAACATGGGCAAACATATCAGTGGGACAAAGAAGAAGATTCAAAAACAACCTCCAAAACATGCAAGTATTATTCAGGGCAGTACTTCAGATCATTGGGAGAAGCTGGATTAATTCATCAATGGTGCTGGGACAAGTTGTTGACTCTTCAAGTAAGACAATTGAGTTACTAGTTGAGAAAATAGTTTATGTGATACATTTAGGTTAAGTATCAGATTCAGGGGCATCTGGATGGCTCAGTTAGTTGACTGTCAAACTCTTGATCTCAACTCACGTCTTGATCTTAGGGTTGTGAATTCTAAGACCTGCATTGGCCTCCATACTGGGTGTGCAGCTTACTTAAAAAAAAAAAAATCAGATTTCGATTTAGCAGCTTTTGTTTGAGACTCTGGCTTTATAGCTAAATAGAATCTGATGTTTCAGGCCATTTTTCTTACCCTGAAAAATTTTTTTTGTAGCATCTGCAGAAAAAGAGGCAATCAAGGGTACATACTCCAAAGTACTGGATGCATATGGACTCTTAGGTGTTTTACGATTAAATCTTGGTAAGTTCATTATTCAGTATAATTCATCTTTTTCCCTATTTTTAATTCTAAGGATTTGAGAGACTGCTTATATATAATTTCATACTCTGTATTTGAGCTAAAAGCACAGTAACATCTTTTAAACCCTAATTACGCTAATCTTGGGAAAATGTTTGTTGGTTGCAGAGGCATGCTACATACTCAGGCTCTTGTGATTTTAAGTTCCAGAGACATTGTCCTATTTAAACATTTTAAGATCGGTATCTGCTGTCAAAAGAGAAAATCAGGGTATTGCCCTTTTTTGTTTGGTTTTGGTGCAGTGTTTTAGGAAAAGATGTCCTAGTGAGAACCACACTGATTGCTCTGGTTTATAGTGGAAAGGACATCTGCTTTGTATTTAAAAGGTCTCAGCTTGAGTCTCTCTCTGCCACTTAATGTCACCGTGGGCTGCAGAGTAACCTTTGTGATTACCAGTTTGTCTGTATAGCAGGGCTGCAGGTGTGGCCCAAGGCTGGTACCAATCCGTGAACAATTTTGTTATTGGTCTGTGATGAGATAAGGAGCTTGCGCCATCATGCAAACCAACACGTGGCTTCCATCACTGATAAAGTCTTACTAGGAAAAAAAAAAAAAAAGTCAGCCGAACTAAACAGTGAGGTAGTTGGTTTCCATTCTGGAACAAGCACCCTTCTCACTGTGACAGCTCATGTGCCATACTTTGAGGAGCGCTGGTGTGTAAAGTGGAGATTTGTCATTTGTTATGAATTTCTCGAATGTAAAAAGCACTGTCCCTAGATGTTTAACTAATACTGTCTCAGGTATACCCTCACAGTCCAGCGAGGTTTATTTTAATCCTGGTTTATGAAGGAGAATATCTCAGGTTGGTTATGTTAAGACACTGAACTTGGTCTAGATAATGAGTGGTGGAGCCAAGATTCAGGGCCACGTTGCCTGCTCCGAGCCCATTGTCAGAGTACACCACTGCTGAATTTCGCCTTCATGCTAATTTCATAGGATTTTTGTCAAAATGAGTGAAAAATCTCTGTGAAAGTTTTCGTAAACCAAATTGTTTTATAAGTTGTTAGCAGGGGCTTTCTGTTCATGTGTCAGCAGCGGCAGCTCACACTGATATTTTTTCCATTTTTTTTTTCACTGTGCTATTTACAAAGAATTCCCACATTTATTGCCTTATCTGAATTTCCTGGCAATCATAAAAGAAAGATGGGGAAGATAACATATATGTATATGTATAGTTTTTTACTGGATAAATTTTGAATATCCCCAGATTTAGTAGAGGAATAATTTCATCAATGTGAGATACTCTGTTAATGTTTAAATGCTGCGTTATACTAAATGTGTTTAAGCAAGGATTTTTTTTCATCTTCTGCCAAAATCCAGTTGTAAATATAAACATGTCCATGGCAGTTTAAAATAACCATGCTGTCAGATTTAAAAAGTTGGAGACATGACAAGAAACTTGGGAGACACTGAATAATCTGAAAAATATTGGGACTTTTTAATCCAATTAATTCTTTGGTTTTTGCAGGTGATACCATGTTACATTACCTGGTCTTAGTCACCGGGTGTATGTCTGTTGGAAAAATTCAAGAATCTGAAGTTTTCCGAGTTACTTCCACTGAATTTATATCGCTACGAGTTGATTCTTCAGATGAGGATCGCATTTCAGAAGTGCGAAAAGTTTTGAATTCAGGAAACTTTTATTTTGCATGGTCTGCCTCTGGAATCAGTTTAGATCTGAGTCTTAATGCACATCGTAGCATGCAAGAACACACAACTGATAACAGATTTTTCTGGTGAGTTTGTGTTAAACATTTTTTTTCCCTTTGTAGTCATGCGCTTGCTGGGCAATAGTTTGATTTGGGGCATAGCGGGTTCATCAGTTATTTCCAGAGACAGCAGCGATGGGCATAGCTGGTTGAGCACACCGTTCTTTCCTGCTCCAGAATCCAGTAGAGAGGGTAACACATCCAGTGTCAGCTTACTGAAGTTCTCATGGGACATGAGACCCATTTGCTGTCCTTGATCTAGACGGACTTAAATATATTTCTGAAATATATTTAAGATACTTACGTTAAAACTAAGAATGAATTAGATATAATCAAATTGCATTACCCATATTTACTCTTCTTAGTTTTGAGATCTTGTCTCCTGCAGAGACAAGACTGTTTCTCCAAGACAACATTGCCTTATTTTTAGTTTTAAAGGTTATAGGTAGATAAACTTGATTTAAGCGCGATAGACTATGAAGAAGTGGCATACTAGGATAAAGTTGTGTACTATAATAAAGGAAGGCTTAAGTAGGTAACAAATGTATTTCATCGTCATGTGTAAATGTGCTGTACTATAAGTACCATGAAGGGTAGGCATATGTGACTCTAATCAGTACTGCTTTATTGCAGCTGACCAGATTTCTAGAATAGTGCTTCTCTTGTTCACAGCCAGCATTACTGTTGATTTTTTTCCTTGACATCACGTAGCAATTATATTTCTTTCTGTTTCCATGTAGTAAGGCCAAAGTCCAGGACTCTCAGCTCTTGGGTCTCCCTTAGTAGGTCAGATTCAAGGTGTTCCTCCTGTATATTTTCTTTCTCTCTCCCTTGCGCCATCTACCCATGGTACTTGAGTAGCACATCGAGTCGGACCCATCCACCCTGGCTGTCTGTCTGAGGGCTCAAAACCAACAACAATGTGAGGACAAGAAACTAATTTTAGCAGAAACTTTGTAGCTAGTGTGGAACTTTTTTGGCCTGGTATAGTAGCGTGGAGGAGAAACAAGGGCAGAATGAAAAAAGACTCTAGTGCACTGTAGTCAGAGACTTGGAGCCCCACAAAGAAGGAGATGATGGCGGTGGCCTGGGGAAGGAAGGGTTGAGGGCAGCTGAGTGGGCATAGAGCTCTGGCTGCTCATGTCAGCCCCACACTTTTCCTGATGGCGGAGGCATTGAAATCCCTGAAAATTTAAGGTGATACAGCTGGGCCAGGCAGCTGGCCTCACTTTTTGTCCCTCCTCCACCCTGCTCATTCCTCACCCAAATTCCTTAGATTAAGAGATAAAAGTTTTCCTGCCATAATTAGAAGTTTAAGCAGGAGTGGATGCATTGGCTCAATGATCAGCAATTAAGCACATTTGCAAAGTTTAACCAGTAGGAATTATTTATTTAGTTCAATTAAGGACGGAGGTGGCAACAAGTTTAGGTCACAGACTGAGGGAGTTCATCTAGCAGGAGACAGGTAGGAGTCACCAAAAATTAGTTTGGATTTTTACCATTTTCACAATTTTGCTAAGGATTGACATTCTTGAGCTTCACTTGGCATAGAAAAATGAAAGCTTTATGCATTTACTGTACCTACTCTCATGGCTTAGTAGAACTATTTCCCGGGATATGGCCACGTCAGTTTTGTCGTCACAAACACCTATCTCAAAACCCAAGTCACGTCATTCCACAGGAGATTTGAAGCTGCTGCCAGTTGAGAGTTGTTTGTGAATTTAAATAGAAATAAAACAGCAACACATTGACAGGAAAGAAAAATGACAGCTGATGGCAGAGGGAGAAACTCTACCTGCACAAATGTATAGGATCCCACTTGTTTTTAAATGGGGACAAGTACGTTGCCTGTATCTCTGCCATGACATGGGACTCGCTGTGGTGTCTGGATACACTGGCCAAGTTTGAACTTCGCCTCAGATCAACAGAGGTAATAGTAGAGTACGAAAACTGAAGTCGTATTTTGAAAATACATAATGGCCATTGGATTCAGTGTTAGTCCAGCAGTAATCTCACCACTCAGTTACATTACGCTTTCTTGCGTGGATGGTTTACCAGAACTGCGCATGGCCACTCTCTGTTTTACTTGTCCTGCAGCCTGTGCCCTTTGGAAAAGGGCTGGGCAACGGCTGGTCTAGCAGTAGTGCTGTGTATTAATGACTAAGACAGCAAGATAGCGCAGAGTACTGAAGAAAAAATTTCTGCATAAAACAGAAGAGTTTTAAAACTCAAAGAACCAAGCTTCAATATTATAGAAAATTGACTTTTATAACACTTTGTTATCGGAAGAGACCAACCAGAAAGCTTTCCTGTATAGTATAGTTTCCTTGGTGATCAGTTGGTTGAGAAATTCCATGTGCTTTTTTTGGAGGACTAAGGTTCCTGTCGAGAGCCCAGAAGAGGCGGGCAGCAGGATGAGAAGGTGGCCAGCCCAGCAGGACTCCAGCCCCTGTCCCTGCTTTAGCCATACTGACTCTGCTTTGATGTGTTTCCTAATCACTGAGCTTCCTTGTGTTTGGGTAAAACTTTCTGCTCCAGAAAGGTTTGGAAACACGGCCCCCTCTGTTACCTAGAATGCTAAACTATTTGGAGTAATGGAAAACTCTAGACACGTATTGATATGGAAGCTGCTAGTTCAATTGGCTATTTAAATTAAAATTAAATAGCTTTGTTAAAGTGGAGCATTAAGAGTAGAGCTTTATAAAGTGGGGTGGGGATATGTGTATGAAATCCATTTTTTTGAAAAGTTAGGTTATATATATATTATATAAGAAGACAACAGAATGGGGCACAGATACTAAAAACATATAAAAAGATAGGCTTCTTTTCTGTAGACCTATAGGTCATATGCCAAAGGATCGTATTATCTAGCCTTCTCTTCTGATTCCTAGTATAGTAAATGTAAATGAATTGATTTATTTGTAGGCCCTTTAAATTGAATAGCATTAAATTAATGTTTCAGGAGCATTGTTTTAATACTTATGCTATGTTATCTGGTACTCAGTAAGCTAATGAGTTATTTTTTTTCTGTTAGGAATCAGTCTTTGCACTTGCATCTCAAGCACTATGGTGTGAATTGTGATGACTGGCTATTACGCCTCATGTGTGGGGGAGTAGAAATCAGAACAATTTATGCTGCTCATAAGCAGGCAAAGGCTTGCCTCATTTCCAGACTCAGCTGTGAACGAGCTGGGACCAGGTTTAACGTCCGGGGAACAAATGATGACGGTCACGTCGCTAATTTTGTAGAAACAGAACAGGTATATAGTGTTTTCTATTGCTTAATTCATGAATTAGATGAGAGGTCCAGAAAATAATGAAACCAGAGATTTCCATTTGATTCAGAACTCCTCTTCACATCTGTAATGTCATCTTGTGGTTGTTCTTGGCTACTTACTGGCCTTAAGGAAGGCTTCTCTGAGACAAACGTATTTATAAACAAACTTAGATATGGCTCTTCAAATGAGTAACAAGAATTTTACTAATTAGCATGCTGTTGTCAATGCTGTACATTTTGGTATTGAATTTTTAAAATCTTCAATTATAGAGCATGACAACTTAATAAAAATGTCTTAATAAAAAGACAACTTTTTTTGTGAAATTAAATCAAACCCAGCTCTTAAAGGTAGATATATATACCATCTAAAATTAAGTTATGGCATTTGCAGTCAGAGATAGACAGATACCATATGTTTTCACTCATATGTGGAATTTAAGAAATAAAACGAACGAAGAAAAAAGAGACAAAACAAAACAAAAAAAGATTCGTAAATACAGAGAACAAACGGGGGGTTGCCAGAGGGGGGAGGTGGCTGGGGGAAATCGATAAAGGGGGTTAAGAGAACACTTACCTTGTTGAGCACTGAGAAATGTGTAGAGTTGTTGAATTTTTTAAAAATTACGACATTTTTGGCTCTGAAACTATAGAATTGAAATTCAGGCCACACCCCCAGCCCAACTCAGTTCTTCAAATTAGTTTTTGAAAAATATAAAAAAAAAACCTAAAAAAAAAAATATAAAGGTAAGTGTGTAAAATATTGAGAGTTAGAAGGCATTCCTTTTTAAAAGTTATGATACATATGCTTATGTTTTTACTCTTTTTTGGATAATATACAGCAAAACTATCACTAATTAAAAGAAAGTCAAACTTATTTAGTTGCCTCTTCTGGATATTTTGTTTGGACAATTATATGCGAGAGACTGGTCATAAGACAAAACTAGCAGGCAACAGATGTTAGTAAATTTGTCTTTGTCATGTAGAGGAAATAACTTTGTGGAAATATTTTATATCTGATTTTTCTCTGTAGGTTGTGTACTTAGATGACTCTGTTTCTTCTTTCATACAAATCCGGGGATCTGTTCCATTGTTCTGGGAGCAACCAGGGTTGCAGGTATCTGTGTAACATTGTTTTATCTTGTGTTTTTCTCTTGAATATTTTCCATGTTTTCTAAACTTTCAGGACAGTTCATTGGATAGTTCTGTTATTCAGTTAGGTAATATTAGATAGATTGACAAACGAGGGTCTAAATATAAGAGTTCGTGGAATTGTCTTAGATATTTTTGATTTAATGTTCTTTCAAATGTCCATAGAAATTAACTGCTGTATTTATTATGAAAATTGTAATGTTTCCATAGCAGTTGATATTCATTGTTTCTTATTTACTATTTCAGTATCTTAATAAATAATAATTTAGCCTCTTTAGGTAGAAGAATGTAGTTTAAAAAAAAAAGGCTTCTGAAACCGGATTTCTCAGTTTGGATACCTACTCTACTAGCTATGATTTGGGGCAAGTGGTTTAACGCCTCTGTGTCTCAGTTTGTTTAGCTATAAAACAGGAAAAATAATAAAATTAGTAGTTCCTGTTCATAGGGTTGTAAGGATAAAATGAAAAGTACTAAGACCAATGCATGGTACCCACAGGCAGCACTGTGTGAGGGTTAGCTATTGTTATCAATAATACATCTGCTATTGAAATTTACTTTATAATTTGTAGTAACCTGTTATCTTTAATATGTTCTCTGATTTGCTTTCTGATTTTTTTTAACTTTGTTGATGTAAACATGTAATCTTTAAAATATAAGATTTTTTTTTCTTGTAAGTTCATACTTATTAGATGGCCCATAATAGTGTGATTTCACATTTTATTTTTTTGTAGGTTTTTAAAAAAAATTTAATTTTTTTATAAACATATAATGTATTTTTAGCCCCAGGGGTACAGGTCTGTGAATCGCCAGGTTTACACACTTCACAGCACTCACCATAGCACATATCATCCCCAAGTCCATAACCCCACCACCTTCTCCCTCCCCCCTCCCCCCAGCAACCCTCAGTTTGTTTTGTGAGATTAAGAGTCTCTTATGGTTTGTCTCCTTCCTGATCCCATTACATTTTATTTTTATTCAAAAATCTTTAATCCCTAAAGTGTATATTATTTTCATTTTAGACTTCTAGTATGTATTGTCTAGCAAGTTTTATGCTTTAGCCTATAATACTGAGAAAATGGACAGAAAAAAATCTTGCCTCCTTTTAGTTCACAGCTAGATCTCTTACATTTAGGATGGCTGCAGTGGAGAAAGATTGCAGACCACTTGAACCTTTGCAATACTGCAATTTATGTAAGACAGGCCACGAATTAACAGGAATTGAAAGCAGTTACAATTCCTGAGTTCTTGTCAAAAATTTTGACTTATGCAGGTTCTCTCTTTGGCATTTAGGGGTAACTTAAGTAGGTCTATCTCTCCCCAAGTCTCTCGAGGGAAAGAATCCCAACCCTTGTCCACTTCTCCTAAGCCTCTGTGATCAGAGAAGTGTGTTTGGAATGGTTGCTTTAAGAACATTCCTAAAGCCTTCTTTTGAGGAACGGTGAATTCTTTTGCTTAGAGACAGGGCAGTGTAAGAAATGGCGATAACCTATTTACGGGCCCTCTGTTAGCTGCTCTCTGTGATATTTTATTAGAAGCTCAGAATTATAGTGTTTGATTATTCAGTATGGTTGGATCTTGAATAGTTACATTGTGTGATCCACCTGGGGTGAGGCTGTCTTCCTCCCTCCTGCTGTGTTCTGTGGCTGGCCCACATAGTCTGTCTTGCCCATGTCATACTGTTTAAAGGCTGAAAGCTACAGATTTTAAAATCACGCATTTCTTGATAAAGATAGTAATTTTTAAGACAAGGCAATGCAACAATTCTGCTAAATTGTCATAGAGCTGGCCTTTTGTCCCAGTTATCAATTATTTAGCTTAGTAGTTTTTAAAGTCAGCCTTTTTTTGAACAGAAGTAGATTAGTTTCATAAGTATCTTTTACAGAAAAACATTTCCCCCATCATTCTAAGAATAGGTGAGAAAGGAATGAAAATATTTCATCACTTTTTAAAAACTGAAAAATAGATATTCATTTTTAAAAATATAAAATACGAAGTCCCCAAATTTATTTCCCCTTAGAAAACAAACAAGAGCTTTTGATAGAGAGTGGTTGAAAATGATTGTTAGGTATCCTTTGTATTCTCAGGACTGGAATTAATTTTAGGGTTCCTTGACGTTTGTGTTACCTCGCGAGAGGCACAGACAGAGATTCCTTGGGACTTGTCCCTTCACTTGCCTCTTATCCCCACAGATAATTCCTCTGAGGTTTTTTTAATTGTGAGATTTTGAAGGTGATTTTAAAATAAAGATTCATGGTCTCAACTTCACATCAGCTGAAACAGAATCTCTTGAAATGTGACCAGAAATCTGTATTTTTAACCAAGTTTCCTACCATTCACATTCGAGAACTTCTGTGTACCTGATGTTACTCTGTTGACCTTGAAGCATCGCCAGCCCTGTCTGCTCTCACAGCCAGTCCTGAACCAGCATAGGTAGCCCTGTGATACTTGACCCAGCATCCTCCTAGGCCCTGGGACTCTCCCTTGCTTTCACTTCCCACTCTGTCATCCCAGTTTGGCTCTTCCTCATTTCTTCTTGCCTGGAAGACTCCCAGTTTCCTGACTGTCTCCTCCCAGCTCTCCGGCAGTGCTTCCCGCTTTTGTTATATTAGGCTCATCAGCTCTGTGAGGCGCCCTTTTCTTCACAATCTGCTTTCCTCTGGCTGTCCAACCAACTTCACGCCTTGCGTCTTCTAACAAGTATCCTCTCTCCCCAAATTAAAGTTTGCCATCCTTCGGTAGAGTGCACTCAGATCTCCTTAAATGGATTCAGTCCCTCCTCCACACTGATCTCTTCATTAAATACTTAAGTTCCTCCAATGTATATTATTTTATGCTGGGTGCATATTGTATACTATGACAGATTCAAAGACTACACTGATGCTTCAGAGAGAGCTTATCTGTTTGGGGTGGTTAGGCCTTTTACGGAACAGGCAAATGTCAATATAAATTAGTTTGAGGTATTACTAGGAGTGTCCTAAGGTGCTACACAGATAAGAATGATACTTTAAGTGGTGGCACACTCATGGATTTTACTTATGACTTCCTTTCTCAGAAGTTCTTTAACATTTACAATTTAAACTGTTACTCTGACATTATATTATAGCTATATTAGCCTTAAAGGATGGAAAGCCTCATCAGAGCTGTTTCGTATAGTGCTACACACTCAACTTCGGGTCTAATTAAAGTTAGAGAAATACGTAAACATGAAGCGGTAGTATTAATGGAAAATGATGTTCCATATCACCCAATTAAATGGTTTTTAAAAGATATTTTTGGTACAACTTTTTAAAAAATTAGATAAGTTTATGGTTATTTAAAACCTTACAACTTTCGGGAGTACTACTTTTATCGCCATTAATATAAGATCTCTTTTATTATAGAATTTTTTTTAGGCAGTTGTCCTAAAACCTAATTGAGTAATAAAACCAGTCTAGTTTAACCAATATGTTACTAAGAGTTATGATGTATAGCTAGTTGTGTGTCAAAGACCAGAGTGATGGGGAACAGTCACAGCCATTGCCTGAAAAACAGTACTTGTATTTTTTTTTTACCTTTTTGGCAGTTGGCAGTACTGTTCAAGATAAATATTAATCAGTAGAAAAATGCTGAGGCTTGGACCTTTTTAGAGTTGTAGGCAATTACCTGAGAGTACTCCAAAGAAAAGGTATCGACTTCTGCTGAGTTTTCTTCAGTCTAAAATGCTTCATGTCTTGGGGTGCACATCTTTCAAATTTTAAAATTTTATAAAGACTATTAAGCACCATAAAATGAACTTGAATATAGGTGTGACATTAGGCAAATCACTTCTTATTGAAAAGAAAAACATCAAAGAGAAAATACTGGTTATCAGGAGAGTCACTAGATTGTCTCACTTTCAGGAGAGAAGGATGTGTGATGAATGGGTAATACCGTTAATTCAAATTTCAAATTGGATGAGCATGTTAGAGCTTATTTTCTGATTTTACTTGTTAAACTGTGTGACTGGTTTGGTAGCCCTCTTCCCATGCCCTTTCAAAGTCACTTTGTTCAAACTGGGGAGAATGAATTCTGGGGTACTTTGATACCAGAGCTTCCGAGGGAAATGTTTAAAAGTGAAGTTCAGGGAAATAATCTGCTGTCACTTTTATTTTTATTTTTATTTTTTTTAAAGGATAGATTTTTTTTTTAAAGGTTTTATTTATTTACTTGACAGACAGAGATCACAAGTAGGCAGAGAGGCAGGCAGAGAGAGAGAGAGGAGGAAGCAGGCTCCCCTCGGAGCAGAGAGCCCGATGCGGGGCTCCATCCCAGGACCCTGGGATCATGACCTGAGCTGAAGGCAGAGGCTTTAACCCACTGAGCCACCCAGACAGCCCCTGCTGTCACTTTTATATTTCTTCTTGGCATCTCTTATATATTTCTTAACTTTGTGTCATCTTTCTGCTACTCTCCTATGTGAGAAAAGAAAAACTATAACAAAACAGGAAGGCAGATATTTTCCATCTTGTTTAATTTTCTTAACCCATATTTTCTGATTGTTTGTGTATGACTGTGAGACTGACTTGGAAAGCCTGTTTTTCCAGGAACAGTGATTTTTTTTTTTAATTTTATTTATTTATTTGAGAAAGAGAGAGAGCATGAGAGGAGAGATCCCTCTCAGATCTCTCAGATCAGAGACTCCAGGATCATGACCTGAGCTGAAGGCAGTCGCTTAACCAACTGAGCCACCCAGGCGCCCCAGGAACACTGTTTTTTAATTTGTTGAATCTTTGGATGAAGGAGAAGTAATAGAGCATTTAGCATAACAAAGAAAAATATGTAGACATTGCATTTGTAGGCAGCTTGGAAGAGTAGAAATTTAGTTCAGGAGACCTGAATTCTTGTGTGAATCTTTTTTTTTTTTTTTTAATTAGTTCTCTTGATCTGAGAGGACAAGTTATTTTACTTGTCTGCATTTCAATTTTTTTATTACCCAGATGGTAGTAATATGTTAACTTACACAGGCATGTAGTTTGAGCTTAAAACAAGGTAATGTATGCAAAAGAGCTCTTAAAAATATGGCTCAGTGGGTTGAAGCCTCTGCCTTTGGCTCAAGTCATGATCTCAGGGTCCTGGGATCCATATCAGACTCTTGGCTCCAAGGGGAGCCTGCTTCCCCTTCTCTCTCTCTCTCTGCCTGCCTCTCTGCCTACTTGTGATCTCTGTCTGGCAAATAAATAAATGAAATCTTTAAAAAAAAATCTTTTGTAAGTAAAAATTGTTATTAGTTTATGAATGTTTCATGACTTCTAGTTTGGTTTTTTTTTTTTTTTTAGATTATTTATTTATTTATTTGACAGAGAGAGACACAGTGGAGAGAGGGAACACACAAGCAGGGGAGTGGGAGAGGAAGAAGCAGGCTTCCCACTGAGCAGGGAGCCCTACAGGCATGTGGGGATCATCCCAGGACCCTGATATCATGACCTGAGCCGAAGTTTAACGACTGAGTCACCCAGACGCCCCTCTAGGTTTTGTTTGTTTGTTTGTTTTTTCTTTTTAATGAGGTCATGTTTTTAAAAATAAAGGAAAGATTGAACTTGACTTTTTAAAAAATAATCATATGAATGAAAATCAATTATTCAATGTACTATTTTTTTGTTCAACAAATGAATTACTACGTATTGTCTACATGTTGGTTTTTGGTATGATTAAATGTGTTTCTCTTGTAGGTGGGATCTCATCGTGTTCGTATGTCAAGGGGATTTGAAGCCAATGCCCCTGCTTTTGACAGGTAAAACTAATTATTTTTATATAATGCTATAAGTTTTGATATTGTTAAGCAACAAAACTAGTTATTATATATTACTGATTCATTTCGGCTTGTTTTGGCTCTAAGTAAAATTTCTTCTGACTCCTAATTTAACCAGAAGAAAGTGATACCCAATATTATGACTTCTGCGGTTGGTGGCATTGGGTTGTGGGTCTTGATCTCTTGGCCTCAAAACCACGTCTTTGAATATATGCTAATAGGGTAACCACTAGTCGCATTTGGTTACTGAGTACTTGAAATATGGTTAGTCCAAATTGAGATGTACTGTAAGTGTTAAATAAACGCACACTAGATTTCAAAGACTTAGCACACAGCAGTTTCTTGCTAGACACGCCTCCAAAAGCAAGGGAAACAAGTGGGAATGAGTTCTGTTGGGACTTGATGAGGAAAAAAGCTTTTGCATAGCAAAGGAAACAGTCAACAAAACTAAACGGCAGCCTATGAGTGAGAGAAGATATTTGTAAATGATTTATCAGATAAAGGGCTAGTGTCTAAAATCTGTAAAGAACTTACCAAACTCAGCACTCCAAAAACAAAAAATCCAGTTAAGAAATGGGCAGAAGACATGAACAGACATTTCTCCAAAGAAGACATCCAGAGGGCCAACAGACACATGAAAAAATGCTCAACATCACTTGGTATTGGAGAAATACAAATCAAAACCACAATGAGATACCACTCACAGTCAGAATGGCTAAAATTATCAAGTCAGGAGACAACAGGTATTGGTGGGGATGCAGAGAAAGGGGAACCTGCTTACATTGTTGGCAGGAATGCAAACAGATACAGCTACTCTGGAAAACAATATAGAGGTTCCTCAGAAAGTTAAAAATAGAACTACCCTATGACCCAGCAATTGACTACTAGGTATTTATCCAAAGGATACAAACATAATGATTCGAAGGGGCACATGCACCCCAGTGTTTATAGTAGCAACGTCCACAATAGTCAAACTATGGAAAGAACCCAGATATCCATCAACTGATGAATGGGTAAAAAAAAGGTGGTATATATACAATGGGCTATTACTCGGCCATCAAGAACAATGAAACCTTGCCATTTGCAATGATGTTGATAGAACTAGAGTGTATTATGCTAAGCAAAATAAGCCAGTCTGAGAAAGACAAATACCATATGATTTCACTCTTATGTGGAATCTAAGAAACAAAACCAATGAACATTGGGAAAGGGAAGGAAAAATAAAATAAGATGAAAACTGAGAGGGGGGAAAACCATAAGAGACTCTTAACTCTAGGAAACAAGCGGAGGGTTCCTTGGAGGGGAGATGGGTGGGTGGCCTATTTTTCATAAGATTAGAACTGTTAAGGAGGTCCTGGATACTCACGGAATATGTGACGTCCTCACATATGAGGTGCAGCCCTCTGCCATAGCTGCCACCCCAAGCTGGATGGCTCATGTTCTCCGTGCTTAGGTGGCACCAGCCTCACAGAGCGAAGAGGGGCTGGGTGGGTCCAGCAGCTCCAGCACAGGTGGGAGTCTCAGCATTGATGGGTCAGAGGCATTAACTGAATTTTTGGTAAATTCAGAGTTTTGAGAGGAATGAATTGGTCAATGAATTTGTATCCAGTTTTGCCAATTCTAGAAATTTAGGAAACCGTCTTATAGGTTCTATTTAATGGATTTCTGTTTGTTGAAGAAGAAATTAGTTTATCACTTATCACCTGACATATGTTTATTTCCTCTTTTTTTCTTTAATAGGCATTTTAGAACACTTAAGAATTTATATGGTAAACAAATAATAGTAAATTTGCTTGGATCTAAGGAAGGTGAACATATGCTAAGTAAGGCTTTCCAGGTAGGCATGATCATTTTTTCTTCTGTTCTGGCCCATGGACGTGTAGAAGATATTAAAAAATAATATGATACAATAATGAAATTACTTCCTAGAAAAAGGCTGGGTACTTGTTGGAACCATTAACTCTTCAGGCTACTAAGAACCAGTTTTACATAATGTTGCTGAAATTGGGATTATGGAAAGCTTTCAAAGGAATTGATGCTGTTTTCTGAAGTGTACTTATTTAGGCCGTGGAGAAGCAGAAGAATATCCTCCTCTCTAAAAAATGTTCATCTGTCACTGGTAAAAAGATACCAGGCAGTTTCCTCCTTCATCTGTTCATCGTCTTGCCTATTTCCTAGAAACCACAGTCATTGTTTTAAACCTATGAAATGGTGAATAACTCATTTGTACACATGCAAAGCTGTACCTTCTTGTACTGATGAAAGTTTGAGAATTTTAAGTAAAAAAGAACCCAAAGATATGTTCAACCTCTGAAGAAAAAATATTCCTCATAAACACTTACTGAATCGATAATTAATATAAATTATGGTGTTCCATAAGATTGTAAGCACAAATCAAATAGAATGGTTAGAGAACATTTTCTGAAGTTTAGTCTCATGAAGTCTGGAAGTGACTTAATTATTTGACTATTTTGTTTTTAAGCTTGTGAAATAAATGCTATTAGATTATACTTTAGAAAATGACTTTTAAAACACTTGAATGAAAGTATCAAAAATGAATTTTTTAGTCTTTGATAGGTTTTGTCTTAAATCAGTTACTTTATTTTGAGATTCTATAACAGATACAGATACTAAATTTATAAAATTGAAGTGCTGGTGGTTTAATTTTCTAAATCAGATGAGAATATTATTTAACTTCTCTGATGTTAATTATGTCACCTAATCTCTTGGGGACCATATGTGAGGTTTTACAAAAAAAGATGTTACTGGATATTAGAAAGTAATTTTCCATTTTACTGCCAGCATCGATGCAAGCTTTGTGTGAGATCAGTGAGATTTCAAGGGACCGTGCCAAGGTTTAAATTTAAAATGTAAGGTTCCATTTTAACATTACTTGATAAGGTCGTATTTAGTTAACATTTAGATGAGTATTTGCCTTTTTACTTTCAGAGTCATTTGAAAGCTTCTGAACATGCTGCTGATATCCAGATGGTGAATTTTGACTATCATCAAATGGTTAAAGGAGGAAAGGCAGAAAAATTGCACAGTGTTCTTAAACCTCAAGTCCAAAAGTTTGTAGATTATGGATTTTTTTATTTCAATGGAAGTGAAGTTCAAAGGTTTGACTTCTCTGTTTCTCTTCTCTTTGAGTTGGGACTTTGCTATATTGTAAAAATTATTCTTAACATTGAGCTCTTCAATTTCCTTTTTTTATACCAAAGTTTATCATAAAATAAAATATCTTTATGATACTTGATTTTAGGCTTGTTTTTCTTTCTTTAGAATTGAACAAGTAGTATTAACAAGAGCTTATATTATTGGGCACATATTTTGAGCCAGGCAGTGTATGTAGTCTTTACATGTACCTGTAACAACAGTTGAAGGGATCAGTTCAGTTATTATCCCCATTAACATTTGAGGAGATTGAGGCATAGACTATAATTTGCCCCAAATCACATAGCTAAAAAGTGTTAGAGCTAGGATTTATCTGCTTGCAGACCTCATGCTATTATCTGTGAAACTATCTCACTTCTCCCTTAAAACTAATATTTTAATATATCTTGACTTCAGTAAGGACTATTAACTGCAAATAGAAGTAAAAGACATAGTTTATTATCTGCTTTAGTATAATTTAAATCTTCAGTTTTTGATTATGAGGTAGAGGAGGAAAGTATGTACTGAAGAAATTAAAGTCAGAGTATGGGATGAGGTAGACTTCAGTGAACAAAGCTCAAACTTTTAGCTTTATCAGTTTGTGCAATATTTAGTTTCAATGCCATAGAAATTCATATAGGTCAGTAGAGATAACATCTTAGGTTAAAAACCTAAAATTTCTTCCATAAATATTTGATTATCTTTTATGTGCAAAGAGCTCTGGGGTCATAACTTTGAATGCATATTTAGCTCCTGACTACTGGCCTAATTAAAAATAAGTGGGTATAGATAAGTAGATATGTGATAAGGAGTATACGACAGAATGTTAACAGTTGTGGAATCTAGATGGTGGGTATATGGATGTTTGCTGTAAATTCTTTCATTTGTGGTGTGTGTGTGTGTGTGTGTTTGAAAATTGTAGTAATAAAAAGTTGGGAGTAAAAAGTGGATGCTTAAAAAAAAGTGGATATTATATTTTAATCACCTTAATTGTTCCTCATTTTGTTTTAGCTTTATTATTTGTGTTTCAAACTAGCTGTTAAACTTTACTGAATTTGTTGCAGATGCCAGAGTGGTACGGTTCGAACAAACTGCTTGGATTGTCTTGATAGAACAAATAGCGTGCAGGCATTCCTCGGCTTAGAGGTAAAAAAAAAAAAAAAAATGGTGAAATGTATGTATGTGACTTGTATCAAATGCCTCTTTTAATGTTTTTGTAATATTTATGTTTCTCATTACTTTTCATAAAATGAAATTATGCTTCATTAAAGGCATTTCTTCTCTTATGGGTTTTTCCTCCCTCAAAATTCCTTTTCATTTAAATGTTCCCTTTACCTGTTTCAAATACTCTTTTTAGATAGCTGATGTTTCACTGTGTTGTTCCTTAACTTTCCCTTTAAAAACTGCTATTTATACTATTCCAACAAGTACTTCTTTTGTCTTCTGGAAGAAAAAAAAAATATATATACACACACACACACACACACACACACACATACATAATGTATGTATACATATTGGCCTTTGTTCTTTGTGTAGTTTCTTCAGAATTGGGGAGGATCCTTTTTCAGGTCTATAGGGTTATATTTTTGACAGTCTGTAACCCAGTGCAATTTATATGGTGTTTTCAAATCAGTAGCTACAAAAACAGGATCGATGAAAATGCAGTTATTAGTGAGAATGAGAGTGAATTAGATTGAGCTTCTGTAACAAAGTCTTTGTTTAAAAGTTTTTTTTTTCCTTCACTATGTATCCGTGAATTCAGTCTAATATAGACATAGTCTCAACTCTGTGACACACTAGCAATGCTGAGCTTTCTAAGTCTTTCCTGTTATGCAACTGTAGGGGTCATAAGGCTGTGATGGGTCTTCATTTAATTACATAGAAACTTAGCATAGCTCTCAAATACTATGAAAACAAGAATAGGAAATAACATGTTCTTATTTCTTCCAGTTAATGATCTTAAATTTGGCCAGGACATTGGTTAATTAGTTACTTTGCAACTGAGGTTCTTTCTGTCTCAAAAATGAAAGCACAGTGTGTAGATTTCTCTGCTACAGAAATGTATTCTTCACAGTAGCTAAATAATTTTTACTGTTGTGCCTTTTTATTAAACACTCTGTCATTGAGTCTTATTATAATTTATGTAGAAAGTATGACGGAGACGAGAAAAGTAAAAGCAGGGGTCTGGTCATTTGAATGGCATTTATCACATGGCTTGGGTTTGTTTTGAGTTGTGTTTTTAAGTGGCTGAATATGTTTACTTAGATTCTGAGAGTAAACTTACTGAAATACTTGAAAGTCTTCATTAAAAGTGTAACAAATATTAGTTCTCAGAATCTGACTTAGCCGGTATCCACTGTTGGTAATTAGGTGAGAGAGTACTCCCTCGTATATAGCAATTGGTTGACTGGTTACAAAATTTACTGCTAGAGTAGGCCGAGCCAAACTAGAAGCTAAGACTAGTTTTCCCAAATTCCTTGAAGAGAGGGAGCTATAAATGATAGAGATGGTGCTGGAGCCCAGTTTTGTTTTATTTTTCATGCTAACGAAGAACAGCTCTGGTATAAGTCCATAGGTAACAAATGAACCTAGTTTAGTGTTTTTTAAAATATTATTTTAGTTTTTGATCTTTTTGTAAGTATGGATAATCATGATACAGATAAAAAGAAACATAAACAGGAAGGAGTTAAGTAAAAATGCAAGGCATAAAACACGATTGGATTTCAAATAAGACAAATGGACTGAGTATAGATTATGCATTGCTTTGACTGACAGATTTAAAGGCCAAAGTTCCAAAGGCGAATGACTTCTAAACATGTTTATTGTTACCTGTGATGAAGGAATTGTGGTGGCCTGAAGACCTTGCATTCTTGCACGATGTATTCACGATGTATTCCCGCCAGCTCCCCTTATAGACATTACCAATAGAGGTTTTATACATTAAACTGTTATGACTTTATTCAGAAATAAGACTAATTTATTTATTTTTGTGATAGTTCAAAAACAACTCTACTTTTTCATAATCTCCTGATTTTAATCACCCAAGTGTGTAACACCCAATCCAAAAATTAGAGAAAATTAGTTATTTCTATATCTATTTAAATAACCTATGCAGTTATTTTTATGTGCTCCAATGCATGCTGTTGAATAGTTAGTTCTTTAAGTTTTAAACCAGTTTGATATATAGAGATATTTTAATAAGGTTAATTTTACCATTTAACCAGAAAGGATATTGCTACATGGGAATATTAAGGTACTTTCAAGCTTCACTGTTGTGGTATTTACCTTAAAAATTGAAATGGTGGGATAGAATACAGCCTAGTAAACCGGTAAGTTTTCAGAATCCAGTGCCACATAGTCCTATAAACTGTGAATTTTTGATTCTTGTAGTTCTTAAAAAGTCACATCACAATGTATCAATCAACATGCTTATAAAAGTTTCTCTTTTGCCATTTTAGATGCTAGCAAAACAGCTGGAAGCTCTTGGCTTAGCTGAAAAGCCTCAGTTGGTGACTCGCTTTCAAGAAGTTTTTAGGTCGATGTGGTCCGTGAATGGTGATTCAATCAGTAAGATATACGCAGGGACTGGAGCTCTTGAAGGAAAGGCTAAGGTAGATCTAGATTTATCATAATGTTACAAAAGATCCTCATTTTCCTTCTAATAAGCTATTAAATCATCTCTTTTAAAATTAATAGTTGGGGGCATCTGGGTGGCTCAGTTGATTAAGTGACCGACTCTTGGTTTCAGCTCAGGTCATAATCTCATGGGTCCGAAGATTGAGCACCACCCCCCGCCCTTCCAGGCTCCACTCTCAATGGGACTGAGATTGCTTGGGATTCTCTCCCACTACCCTACCCCTCCCCTCCACTTGCTGTCATTTATGAATGAATGTGTGAAGGAATGAATGAATGAATGAATGACTAAAGGAATGAATGAATGTTGGGGTTTTTTTAGGTATCTGTTTCAGAATTCTGTTTTATTATGCCATTATGTCCTCTTTAACACTTCCTTTTGTAGGAGATACTAGTGGTTGGATGGAAGAGAGTTATTTCCCTAGGTTTGGGGGGTATTAATATGACGTATTTAGTTGTTTAGTGATATAATCCAGTAGGCCTATGTATGTATTGCTCACGTTTTTTTTTTCATGATTTTCCCTTACCTACCTGTTTTACTTATTGTGTTGTTTATTTTGATTATAAAGGTGATTTTTTTAAACCGTAGTCATCCTAATGAAGGGTCCTGTCACATTTGGCTTTGTGTTTCCAGCACTTGTAGTGCCTACTGTTTAATAGAATTGTCACAAATGGTGGATGGATGAACAAATCATTGGACAATTTATGCAATACTTCCTATGAGCCCAACACCTTTAGGGCTTGATTATTAAGTTTCTGTTCTTTAATTTATCTTACCTTGAAAAGGAGGCTATCAAAATATACAAAAGAAGTGTGAGAGATGGGCTTACTTATAATTCTGTGCCTCATCATTGCTTTATGTTGCTGGCCTTATCTACAGGCCACTTTCTCCTCTAGTATTTGGCACTTATTAAGGGACTTATTCTATATACTTAAACACTGCCTTTTAAGCCTCCTGTTCTCCATTGGACTTTATTAACATTTTAAATTTTTACAGTTCTTCAAATTACCTCAAGTATAGAAATAAGGATATTTACCATTTTTATAGTTCTGCAGCCCCCTCAGTACAGCCCCTGGAATTCTTTGAAGGCCATTCATCATCTCTAAGTCTCTTAATTTCTAAGTCTTCTTCCTCTTCTATGTCTCATAAAATGCCATGCCTCTCTCTGTTCAGAGGTACTGGCCTTACCTGCAAAGCTGCTTTTGTTCAATTCACAGAATTGATTTTATTGACATTTACAAGTATTTACTTCTTAAATGGGCCCTATTTTTGAAAACCTGAAATTGTTAAACCTCCTTTATTACCCTTTTAAAATAGATAATATCATTCTTACTGCTAAAACTTAATTATCTACAATTGTTGCTTAAAATATTCTTCTATGTTCTTCTGCCTTTTTGTTTCTGCAGTAACTGTGACAATATATATATACAGGTTACATATATTTTCAGTGGTCTTTTGTCTCTAACATAATAGAAATGAAATTTCACATATTAAATATACGAGTCTGAATTAAACTAAACTCTAACATCTGAACTGCTCTTTCTTTTCCTTTCTCTGGGTTCCTTTTGATTAATTGCCTGATAATATGAATGGTGAGTGTCTTTTCAAATAATGTCATTTATATGTGTTACCATGTGGAAGGAAATAATGTTTTAATTCTCAAATTACTGATATTTCTGTAAGGAACGAAAATTACATATTACAAACTGAAGCGGTTTTCTAAAAGGCAAGAGTTTGGGTTTGTTTTTGTTTATTTGTTTGTTTTAAGACATCAAAATCCTTAAGATCAAAAGAAATCTTTATGGTAACTAACATGCTTAAGTAAAATATGTGTTCATTAAAAGTTATAATCAGGAAATACAGCCTTCCAGTTATGGAATGAAACATCACAGGAATGAAAGGCATAGCATAGGGAATATAGTCCATGGTATTGTCATAACGTTTCATGGTGACAGATGGTATCTACGCTGGCAGTGTGCCTAGTGTAACATCGAGAGTTACCTAATCACTGTGCTAAATACCTGAAACTAATGTAACATTGTGTCTCAACTGTACTCAAAAAAGAAGTTATAATCAGCTCTTCCACTAGAGGAATTGGCCTCAGTTTATCATTTTTATTATTTATATTTACATAGGCAATAAAATGATCTAAGACCAATAAAATGACAAATTGTAGTTTGCATTTAATATTTATGAACTGGAATTATAAATTTCTTTTTAGACCAGTCCTTCATTCTTATGTTCAGTCTTAGTTTTGACTAATATTAAAGTTATTTAGGAGCAATTCCAATTTTATTTTTCTACCATTAACATACTTTGAAGTGTCAGAGCATATCAGTGCTCAATATCCTTGATCTCCTTCACCCCCATCCCATCCCCAGTTCTAAGAGTTATAGGGTAAGACTTAATTTTCTTGTTTTAAATAGGTACACTTCACTTTATTTCCTTTATAGTAAACAATTTTAAGCATTTACCGCTCTCGATAGCATTAGTGGGTGAGGTTGTGGTATTGAGATTTTTCCTTCTTTTTGCGGAGAGCTGTTATCCAAAAGGAAGAGAAACGATGAAATGTTGAGCCATTTTATTATGACGATTTGATATTCAAAATGGAATGATTAGGCCCTTTCTATTGCAGTAAAGTCATATAAAACTGATTTAAAGTTTCAAAGTGCCTACTGAGTTCATTTAACACTCTTTGGAACAAAAATCCATGCTGTTTTTTTCCCAACAGGCTGGAAAGTTAAAAGATGGTGCTCGTTCTGTTACTAGAACGATTCAGAATAACTTCTTTGACAGCTCCAAGCAAGAGGCCATAGATGTTTTACTGCTGGGAAATACTCTTAATAGTGATTTAGCTGACAAAGCTCGAGCACTTTTAACTACAGGAAGTTTGCGTGGTATGCATACTTACTTTATATTTTGATTACTTTATGTTATTTATATCCCTTCCAGAAGTCCAAGAAATAAATGTTAATTTATTTACATGAATATTTTTTAGATTGAGTTGACTACAATAGTTTTGGGGAAAATTTCTATCCAAGTAGTTTTTAAAAATTGCCTTCTCTAAAGAGGCTGAGCTCTTTTGGAATGTTTTTTATCATCAGTGGTATTACTGAGCTCTGAAATGAGGCTCATGCATGTTTTCTTTTATAGATATGATTGAGGGGATAAATGGTTTAAGTGTCGCTAACTTTGTATAAGGCAGGATTTCATAGAATATTCAGCTACTACCTTTAATAGAATGTTAAGTAACCTAATTATATAAAAAAACAAATGATTAATTGAGGAAAAAAAGTACCTTTATTGGTTATTTTGCTAATTACTAACCCCAGATTTCTATAACTTGGTCTTACTATTGTTTGAACAAACATTAAATCATAATAATTTAAAATACTGCTTATTATAGGACACTTTAATATTTGACATAAATATATGGTTTTCAGGGTAGCTTTTTATCTTTTACTGAGTCTTATTAAAATCAAAAGAATTCGAGCTCATGTCATTGAATATGTATTTAGTATCATGGAAAAACCCAATATTCATTATAGAACTTAATGAATTAACTTCCTTAATTCCATGGTTTTTTTTTTTCATCTTAACTTTTAAAACTCTGAACATTTTTACTTCTTCTGTTATCCCCACACCAAACCTTTCAGTTTTCCCTGTGTATGTAAGAGAAATTGTTTCTCATTAAATAATGCACTCTTGGATAATTACTTGGTCTAATAGGTCATCATGGATTCTTTCAGAATTCTGTGTAGGCGCTGGGGGTAGTTGATTACCGTTAGCCCCTCAGAGATATGTTAACTAGGCTGGGGAGCTGAGACCCTACTAAGGTTCTAGAAAACAAAGTCTGATCTTAGCTACTGCTTTTAACTTCAGGCTTTCTTCCTGGCTCCCAGTGGTGGAGACTTGGCTGATTTGCATCTTACCACTTCTTTCCCCCTGTGCCTACTTTGATATGGAGGCATTACTAAGCAACAGCTGAAAGTAAGCAGTTGAAGGAAAGAAGTGAGGTAGCTAAGAATTCCCAAACTTGATTATCACTTTTTTTATTTCCCTGCACATTTTCTTCTGTGTCGAATAAGCCTAAAAAGATGTACAGTCGGTTCTGCGATAATGCGTGTTCTGAGAATGGGAATTTGTTCCAACATGGGTTCTCTATGAGGGAACATATTGGACATAATGTCTGTTCTCCATTAGTTTACGCGTGCTTTCACCCAGCAGAACGTAGACAGGTAGAAAGAAATACACAAAACATACACTTAGGCATACACTTCAAACCTCTCTCTACCTCAGTTCCCCAGGTATGGAACCCTGGAGTTGCCAAACCACCCCCTAGAATTGCCAATCCATTCCTCAAAACTTACTACTAATTACCTACTGTGGACTGTAAGCCTTACTGATAACATAAACAGTTGATTAACACATTTTTTTTTGTATGTTGTATGTCTTACATACTGTATTCTTACAACAAAGTAAGCTGGGAAAAAGAAAATATTAAGAAAATCACAAGGAAGAGAACATACATTTATGGTACTGTATTTAATGAAAAAAATTCCCATGTTGAGTGGACCAGTGCAGTTCAGACCCGTGTGTTCAAGGGTCACCTTACTCACAAGCTGCAACCCTCCTGTCACCGTTGACAAGCAAACTTTAGGTCTTTGTCAACATGAAATGCCATATTTAAGGAGTATTCATACCTTTCAAGCTATTTAATGATATAAAACTATACTACTGATATTAATAGGTTTCCATCTTTTTTGGCATGTCACTCACTGTTGAAGGTTTTGAGTTGTGCCCTAAGCTCATTTTCCCCCTAAGCTCTGTGGCTGTGGGAATTTGTACAGTTTTGCACCGCATGCTGATTTTTGGGGGAATTTATGTGTTTTGTTATAATTGAACTGGTTGTACTTATCAGCTGAGTCTGAGAAAGAATACTAAAAGGTATATATTAGGGTAGTATCTTTCATGTGTTTGATATCCTCTAGCTCCTCAGGCTTTCAGACCCACAATCTCCCCGTGTGCGCATGCACACACACAAAGCCACACACACGGGAGCAGTCTGAAAAGCAGGCCGAGGACCTCCTGATTATGAAACTCTGGACATCGCTGAGTCGCTGTAGGATTTTTCTTAGATGCTAAGGGTTTGCCTCAGATATTGTCATTTTTTTTAATCTTTTAATCTTTGGTGTCCTGTAGCCATCAGAAAAAATAAAGTCATCAAATCGAATTAAAAGAAAAAAGTGAGGCCATCGTAGAATGTATTGTCGTAACACTCTAGATTTTAATTGTAACTTGTTGTTTTACTAATGATTCTTTGTTTTCTTCTTGATGCATCCATAGTTTCTGAACAGACATTACAGTCAGGTACAGTATAGAAAACCAATCTGTAAATAAAAGCAAATTTTTCTTTATTTTTCTGAAGTTGATACTGTAAATAAATAAAGCCATATAAATGGGAATTTCCTCTTATTTTGCCCTCAGATTCTAACAGGATAAATTGATATCTTGTTTTAATCTGAGAAGAAAAATTTCAAGGTCGAGAAAACCAAGTACCTCGTTTAGAAGGAAATATGTCTTCCTGTAGCAAATGCTTAAATTAAATGTAGCTCATCTAGTTTTAATTTCACTTTTATATTTCATTGAACAAACATTCTTCCTTATACTGTTAATAAGCTAATGGGAAAACTCCAGATGAGACTATTTGGGGTTAATTTCAGAGTACTGTCTGTGATATTGATGACTACTTTGCAGCGTTTCTCATATATAATAATTGAAAAAAGCATAGGCTTATTTTCTCATACCGTGGAGGAAATATTTTCTGTAACCAGAAGACCTGCACTAAAATGTGATCTGAATTCTTTTAAAAAGCATGAAGATTGCTACCAAAGTTAGAGGAATTAAGTGATTAGGACCGTTTCCTGTTCCTATCAATCTCATGCCTGCCTTTTCTGGACAAGGTTTATGAACTTGTCCTTAAACATGAATCTGTGGCAGAAGGAACAAGAAAGGCTAAACACTTGCCAGAAATTTAGCAGAAAAAGACATCGTTTCTTCCCTTCACTTAAGATTTGGTACCACTGAAAATTTGTTTTGCTTAGTTACTATTCAGAATGTTTTGAGAAATTATTGGTTATTTTTGTGAGAAGAATGGAAGAAGAGAGCACTTGAATATATTTTTGAGTTATGTAATGAAATCCATTTTCTGAAATGATATGGCATTTAGGAATGGATATCTGTTTGAACACAGACTCATTTCTTTCTGCACATTAAGGTGCCAACCAGTTAAGAATAAACTAGAAAATTTTTAAAATGTTTTATTCCATGGATAAACTGATTTGACTTTATTAGTTCACACAACATGGCAACATGTTTTCACACAATTCATTATTTGTCTTGCTGAGTATCTTAAGCTGCTGAATCATTACAGAACTTGTGTTTTGATATAGAACAGATCACAGAGGCAGTCTTCATAATAACAACAACAATGGTAATGATAAAGACCATGGAATAGAGAATGATTCTCTAGGTAGGGCCAGATTTCAGTGGACCACACCAACAGACTGGAACAAATCATCTGCTTCCATTACCACCCAACACCCTCTACAAGTAATCAGGTCAAATAGCAAGAGGGCTAGAAATCTGCACTTCTATCCCTGGGAACAGGGGGGCTGGGCTTATATCTACAGCAGCTCCCTCGGGAGAGTCACTGGTCAAACTGTTTTCATTATAACGCTAAGATGTTATTTGCCTTTTTCACTGTCATTCATTCTCTCAGGAGTCTGCTGTATCTTAGTATCATAAAATAATTAATTATAATAATAAAATAAAATCATGTGGTAAAAGGTGAGAATCATTGTTATTTCCTTTTCCTCTTAACAATTGCCAATTAAGTGTTCATTCTCTGTTTTTAGATTGAGGTCTGTTAAGGTTCTAGCTACTTTAAATGCTGAGAATTTAATTTGGTCAAACTGAAGTGTGATTTAGAAGGAAGAGAGATGGTAGTCAAAAAATATGCAGGAACGAGATTGAGAATCCAACTGTATTGAACATTCATTTAACAATGATTTACTGAGCACTTTCTATGGCACTCTTCTAGTGACTGGAGATACTACAGTAAATGAAACAGACCAACCTTTCTGCCCTCGTGGAACTTCCACTCTTGATAGGGGAGACAGATAGTTACAGCGTAAATAAATAAAACTCAGTTTGTAAATGTGATTAATGCTATAGAGAGAAATAAAACAAGGAAGGGATACGGAAGGTTAGGGACAGAATGCAAATTCTAATAAGATGGTCAGGAAAAGCCTCACTGGAACTTAGAGACCCAAAGGAGTCAAGGGGAAGAATGTTGCAGGCGGTGGAAACAGTCAAGTGCAGAGGCCTTATGGTAGAAGCAAGCTGGCCTCTTATTGAAACAGCCGGGAGTCAGTGGCTGAGCAGGGAGCCAATAGGGAAGAGGTAGCCAATGAGGGCAGGATGGCAATGCGGGTTGTTTAGGGCCTTGTAGGCCATTGTTAAGGACTTTGGCTACTACTCCCAGTGAGATGGGAAGAATTTTGTAGTGACTTCAGTCTCTGAAGTCTCATTAGTATACATAATTTGTGTTTTTGTCAGGGAGCCATTTTTCATCAAGCCACCTGTCAGTAGCTAGAATCTTAAATGTAAATGTTCTTAGATGTTTTTGTTTGGAAATAAGAAATAAGATTTATATTTTTACCAGCCTTTCAATGAAAGATATATGAAAATCAATGGCTATATTCCTAAAAATGTAGAGTCTCTAGTTTCATACACTGTAAAACAATCTACTACTTCATTGAAACAGAACTTTTCTGCATGTTTTACATTGTTGCAATAAACCTGTAATAGCATTTTTACTGTGACTATTGTAGTAAATGTCAAATTAAAAAAAAAAATCGTGTCGGTTACTGGCATCGTGCTGGGCTCTGCATGTGTCTTATGCTTGTTCGTGCTTATGATGATAATTGTACTTCCCATCCATCTTTTCTCAGATAGAAAAATCAATTTCTAAAAGTGGTTTAATGCAGCTAAGATTCTGTTATGTGTTCTTTTTGATTAGCATCTTCCAAAGTACTCAAGAGCATGTGTGAGAATTTCTACAAGTATTCAAAGCCCAAGAAGATCCGAGTGTGTGTCGGAACCTGGAACGTGAATGGTGGGAAGCAGTTTCGTAGCATAGCTTTTAAGAATCAGACACTCACCGACTGGCTTCTTGATGCACCCAAGTTAGCTGGCATCCAGGAGTTTCAAGGTCCGCTTTTTATAATATGGATTCACTTACTAAATCCTCACTGTGATTTATTAATCTATAAAACAAATGTAACGCATCATAATATGCGTTACTCTATAAAAGAAACTTGGATTTTTAAGTGTGAAGGCCAAACCTTTAAGGGTAACCACGCACATAAGAAAAACTGGTTCTTAATGTTTTAAACTGACACAAAGCAAGCTTATTTGTAATTGATGATTTTTTAAGCCTAGTATGTTCCATTTTTTCAAATCTAGTTAGCTGTTTAGTTACTAAGGTAAGTATTTGGGGTAGATTATGAAAAATCTTACAAAACTGGTTGTGACATTTGTTGGCACTTTATAACTTAACAGTACTGATTTTATCCTTGGAAAAACTTGGTTGTCATTAATAGCCCAAACCAAACACTGAGCTGAGGATGCTTTTTTAGATTTTTTATTAGAATCGTGAATTTGAGGCTGCCTTCTTTTTTTAAAAGTCACTTCGAATTCCTTTTTCAAATGGTACACAGCCAGCAAGTAATATGTATAAGGCGAGGTGCATAGGAAGAAATGTGAGATACAGTTTTTCCTGTTTGTAGTTATCTGCAATCAGTTACATCTCAAACCCTGAGGTTTTCCCCCCGGACATCTATTAAAATGCCCTTTTCACTTACACTGAAACTAATTTGACATTGTAGTTGCCGTCATAGTAATAATAATAAAATAACAGCTAACACCACAATTCTGTAAGTACTGTACATTATTCCCCGTAACAGACCTACTGCATAGACACTATTATTATTCTAATTTCACGGATGAAGAAACCAAGACACAGCAGGGGAGGTGACCTGCCCAAGGGTGTGGTTACTAATGGCAAAACCAGAATTTGAATTCTGGAGATTTGGTTCTGGCGTCATTGTGCCGCCCCGCAGTTTATGTAAATTTTGGGGCAAGTTGTTTAGGTTCTCCACAGCCTCAGGATCTTGTCTGCAACTAAAGGACAAAAATAATCTTGTCTTATAAAGTATGTGGTAAATGAGATGAGGCATGTATAATCCTTGCACATAATAGCAGTCAATGAAGAGTTTTATTTGTTTCCTTTCCCAGTTCATACTATTTATAGGCCCTTTCTAGCTACTTACCTCCATTTCTGAATATTTGGGCCACCCAAGTACCCCTGGGCTGCTTATCTCAGGTAGCTCCTGTTCTCTCGTCTTCCTTGTCTGTTGGGAGAGCGCTAATGGCTGAAACAGAGGGGGTGCATCTTAACAGCCGGATCACCATTAATTTTCTTGGATTCTTCTACCAAGGAAATAGTAAAAAGATCAAGCCTCTAGTTTTCATATTTGATTGTGAAAATCCCTCCTATTATCTCTAATTTGAGCTGATTTCTCAGCCTCTTTGTGCCTTTTCTGAAGAATCCCTTTACTTCCCCATTTGTTGTTCACTTCAGCCTTTGAGAAGTGGCTTGTTTAGAGAAATACTATGGTGCCCATAGTGCAGATTTTAGCAAATATTCTTTCAAAATGATTTCTGGAAGGATTTAAGGATCTTTAAGAATAACAGTCTTAAAAAAGCAAACTTAGGAAGCCTGAATAGAAGATAAATTTTAAGTAATTTTGTCCCATTCGTTGTTTTTGCCTCTAATTGGAATTTGGTTACACGTAAAGCACAAAAAATGGAATTTTATGAGGTTTCGTGGTCTTAGTTGTGCTGGGTTTTTTGGGGGGGTGCCATTTGATTAAGGCTACCTTTTAAAAGTTCGTTTTGGTTGCTTAATTGTAGATAAAAGAAGTAAGCCAACTGATATATTTGCAATTGGTTTTGAAGAAATGGTTGAGTTGAATGCTGGAAACATTGTGAATGCAAGGTAAGTCAATGAGGTAATTGTCTAGTTGAGGGACATGGAAGGCAGATAACTAAGTAGTTCTTACAAAGATAGATTGGGGTAATATATCTAAAGGTTGTTTTTTTGTTTGTTTGTTTTTTAAAAGATTTATTTATTTATTTAAGGGGCAGGGAGGGGCAGAGGGAAACGGAGAGAGAATCTTAAACAGACTCTGCACTGAGCACGGAGCCAGATGTGGAGCTCCATCTCGCGACCCTGAGATCATGACCTGGGCCAAAACTGAGAGGCATCGCTTAACCAACTGTGCCACCCAGGTGCCCCCTTGCAAATCTTTTAAAAACTGACTTTTTTTTTTTTTTTTTAAGATTTTCAGAATAAAAATAGGCAATTTTTTTCTCAGCTAAAGTGATATTGCAGGCTCAGTTCTCAACCTGCACTAAAGCAAATACTGCAGTAAACATAGTCAAATGAATTTTTTGGCTTCCCGATGCATTTAAGTTTACACTATACTGTACTCTTCTAAGTGTGCGATGGCATTATGTGTAACCAACAACATACACACCTGAATTAAAAAATACTTTGCTAAAAAATGCTTATCATCATCTGAGCTTTCCGCTAGTCTTAATCTTTGACCACAGGGCACCATAACAAATACAATAAAAATGAAAAAGTTTGAAATTTTGTGAGAATTATCAAAATGTGACACAGAGACAGGAAGTAAGCAAACGCTGTTGGAAAAATGGCACTGATGGGCCTGCTTGACACAGGGTTGCCGCAGACCTTCAATTTGTAGAAAACACAATAGCTGGGAAGCACAATAAAGCAAGTCACAGTAAGGCAAGGTGTGCTTGTGTAGCGTAGTAGAAGTGGAATGGAAAATAAAGACAGGTAAAGGGGCTTGGGCACGTGGAGTTGGGGGGGATGCAGTTTAAATAGAATGATCAGGTAGGGTTCACTGGGCCTGAGAAGCGACCTGGATAAAGAGATGAAAGCCGTCATTCTTTTCTCAGAACGCAAGTTGTAGTGGTAGGATTATGGTAGGTAGTAGAAGAGAATCCATGTGCTGGTATGTGTTTTGGAGGTGGTATGGTGGTGTTAGATTAGATAAATGGGCGTGAGGTCATATTCTGGCTTTCCGCTTATCATGTGTGGCCTGGAACTCTGAGAACACACTTTTTGGCTCCCTTTAGAGGTTCTTGGGGGTGCGTTGGAGGTTCAAGCTTATTAATCTGAAAATCTATAAAGACCCAGGCATTTATGCTACCTTCTTTATATGAACTGTGTTTCAGACTAATGGAATAGTTGAGAAAAGTTCTTTAGAGAAGAGTTCTAACTTAGGACAGTGCCTGTGGAATGCTGTAGTTACAAAATCAAAGCCGTGCAGCCCCTCATGAAGTAATGGCAGTGGCCAATAGATATGAAGACTCTAGCGGGATTAACGGGGACCTTTTCATTGTAAAGAGTTGATCTGATTGTCAGAGTGTGCACAGCAGATCTGCTATAACAGCACAGAGGTTCGGTGCTGCCTGCTTTGATGCAAGGGGGACCGCACTAGCCATGAGGTTATTTTTGCCAAAACAAATAAATAAATTTGAATGGGTTTCTTAAGCTTCTACGTTAACCAGTTTAAAGCAAATGCAAGAGTTAGAGGGACAAGTCAAAATCCTGTGAAGACACATCAGTCAAATCCAGGCTGTCAAACATTTTACTGACAAATGGCCCAACTTCTTAAAAAATAAAATAGCATTAGAAAGGGGATGGAGTGGCAAGGGTTGAGAGAATATTAAAGATTCAAGAGCTGTAACAAGCAAATGCAGTGTGTGGACCCTATTTGGACCCTGTTTTATTTTAGTCTTTTTTGGATTTTATTGATTTGAGAGTGAGTGAGTGAGCAAGCAGGGAAAGGGGCAGAGGGTGGCGCGGAGAATCTCAAGCAGACTCCACACTGAGCATAGAGCCTGATGTGGGGCTCGAGATCATGACCCGAGCCAAAACCAAGAGTCATTTGCTTAACCAACTAAGCCACCCAGGGGACCTTATTTTAAAGAAACCAACTGTGGGGGCACCTAGGTGGCTCGGTGGGTTAAAGCCTCTGCCTTCAGCTCAGGTCATGATCCCAGGGTCCTGGGATCGAGCCCCGCATTGGGCTCTCTGCTCGGCAGGGAGCCTGCTTCCTCCTCTCTCTCTGCCTGCTTCTCTGCCTACTTGTGATCTCGGTCTGTCAAATAAATAAATAAAAATCTTAAGAAAAAAGAAACCAACTCTGAGGGGCGCCTGGGTGGCTCAGTCGTTAAGCTTCTGCCTTTGGCTTGGGTCACAGTCCCAGAGTCCTGGGATTGAGCCTTGTATCAGACTCCTTACTCAGCGGGGAACCTGCTTCTCCTTCTCCCTCTGCCTACTTGTGCTCTCTCTATCTCTCTGTCAAGTAAATAAATTAAAAAACAAAACAAAACTGTGAGAAGACATTTTTTAGATAATTAGGAAAATTTAAATGTGAACTGAGTATTAGATGGTATTAAGGAATTGTGTGATAAGGGCATTGTGATTATATAAAAATAAAACTGTCTATTGCGTTAGATGATGCATTCTAAAGTACATATGAGCGAATGGCATTTGTTTTATATTTGGTTTAATATATTCATACACACACACATAAATGAGGAGAGATGAAAGAAAAAAGATTGGCAAAATGTTGATAACTGTTGAAGCTACCTTAGGTAATAGGTTTATGGTGCTTTCTCTTAGGGTTCTCTCTTTTTTGTGCATGTTTAAAATTTTCCATGGGAAGTTTTTAAAAGACATTCATTATGGTACAGAAAAATAAGAGAGGGGACAAGTGTCTGGAAGCACGTACTCCTCTGTTCTAATGAGTACTAAAGTATAACTGGAGCTCACTCAGATGGTGGGTACTCGTTTAGTCAGGACGCTCAGGTTTCCTCCGTAAAGGAGTTCTGCACTTTGAAGTATGGTATTCTTTTGGCCAAAAATTTTTTTTTAAGATTTTATTTATTTATTTGACAGAGAGAGAGAGATCACAAGTAGGCAGAGAGGCAGGCAGAGAAGTGGGGGGAAGCAGGCTCCCCACTGAGCAGAGAGCCCAATGTGAGGCTCGATCCCGGCACCCTGAGATCATGACCCAAGCCGAAGGCAGAAGCTTAACCCACTGAACTACCCAGGCACCCCAGGGTTTTCTTTTTAAAAGCAACAGAAAACCAGCCTCTACAGCAAGATTTCCGTCAGTGTGGATTTCATGACTGTTTGGTAGTCTTACGAAATTTGGGTATAGAAAGATGTCATTGACAATTGCCTTGTAAAGTAGGCTGTATTGTCAATGTCTTTTAGAAGATTCCCTTTGTCATATTTTCTGCCAGCACAACAAACCAGAAGCTGTGGGCCGTGGAGCTGCAGAAGACCATCAGCAGAGACAACAAGTATGTGCTGCTGGCCTCGGAGCAGTTGGTGGGCGTCTGCCTGTTTGTTTTTATCAGACCACAACATGCTCCTTTCATCAGGTCAGTAAACAGCATCTCCAGAGGCTCCTTCCGATTACCGTGTGACAAGGAAAAGACCTGGCATGTTCGTTGCTTCAGAGAAAACACTTACTCCTGCATCTTGGTTTCCAATGTGTTTTTGATAAAGAGTCACTAAGAGTTTTACCATACTGTTGCATAGCCTTGTCCTCAAACTAGTTTTATCTTTCTGTCATAGACATTCCTAATTTCTGACATGCACAGAACTCTTCATAGCTCCCCTCTTTGATTTAGAGTCTTCTGTTTTGAAGGGATGTCGCAGTCGATACTGTGAAGACTGGAATGGGAGGTGCCACTGGAAATAAGGGAGCAGTTGCGATACGAATGCTATTCCATACGACAAGCCTCTGCTTCGTCTGTAGCCACTTTGCTGCAGGACAATCACAAGTCAAAGAAAGAAACGAAGATTTTGTAGAAATAGCACGGAAGTTGAGTTTTCCGATGGTAAGCTCTTACTGCTTGTCCTTGAAGATGAAGCTTTGAAATGTGTACTTTAATTTACCCCAAATTCTCTGTCAGTTTTTGAAAACATACGGTAGTTCCTAGGAACATCACCAGTGTTCACCTAAATTGAAGTTTCATGTGTTATTAGTCTTGGGTCACATAAATAGGGCCTGGCCAGGGGAAGGTGAGCATATCTGAGGCAAAGAAATAGTTGTAAAACATTTTTCAGATTGACTGTTGAGAATCTAAAATCCCTTCTCCTTGCCTTCAGGGAAGGATGCTGTTTTCCCATGACTACGTATTTTGGTGTGGTGATTTCAACTACCGCATTGATCTGCCTAATGAAGAAGTTAAAGAGCTGATAAGACAGCAAAATTGGGATTCTCTGATAGCAGGAGATCAGCTTATCAATCAAAAAAATGCTGGTCAGGTATATACATATTTAAGAAGATACTTGCATTGAGGAGAAGGGGAATCTTTTGTTATGAGACCTGCTTTCCTTTTTTTCTTTTCTTGAATCTCTTGGAGTGTCTGTCTCTCTCTTTCTTTCTTTCTTTCTTTCTTTCTTTCTTTCTTTCTTTTTTTTTTGAGATGGGGACAGAAGGCTGGGGCAGGGGAGGGGGGTCGGAGAACAGAGGGAAAGGGAGAGAGAAAATCCCAAGCAGGCTCCATACCCAGTATGGAGCATTATGGCAGGGCTTGATCTCACGACCCTGAGATCATAACCTGAGCCAAAATCAAGAGTCAGGTGCTTAACCAACTGAGCCACCCAGGCTCTTGGAGTCTCTTTATACTTAAAATACATGTCTCTAACATATACAGAATTACCTTTTCTTAAAAAAAAATTAAAAAAAAAAAAAGAAAAAGAAGACTTGTAATAATTCCCAGGAGGAAAAATATATTAAGGTCTCTCTGTAAGATTCACTTTCAAGTAAAGAGTATACATTTTTGGTTCTTTCTTTTTCAAAAATAGTGAATTTGGAATCTTAGTCTTCAGAGCCCCTGTTTTTTGGCTTTAAGACCCTGTGGTAATCTGCTTTATTTATTCTTTTGTTTCTTATATCATCTGCCTTTCTAAAACTTACTTTTTAAAACTTACAACCACAAAATTTTGGAAGGTTAAAATAAATTTTTTTTTTTTTTTAAGTAAGAGGTAACTGAGGACGCTTGATATGCTGCCTTCATGATCATCTGACTTAGGTCTTACTTCCTCATTTGAGAATTAGATGTCAGACTATAGGATTTCTAAAATCCATTATAGTTGTAAGTGTCTTTTAAAGCTCAAAGGTCTGGCAGAATTCCCTTCTTCATGTTTTTCACTTTGTATCGTCAAAGGTCAAACAAGCGGCATGAACAGTCCTCGGTTATTTTTTCTCAACCTTTGTGCCATTCAGTAGAAAGTATTCATTTGATGGACACAAATTTTGTGTGAATCTCCAGCATATCGTAGACATTTAATGAATGGCTTGTCTGAATGAAAACAGAACCTTCTCTTTTTTTTCCGAATAACTGATTTTATATATGTTTGTTTTAGATTTTTAGAGGATTTTTAGAAGGAAAAGTAACCTTTGCTCCGACATACAAATATGACTTGTTTTCGGATGACTATGACACCAGTGAAAAGTGCCGCACCCCTGCCTGGACAGACCGTGTCCTCTGGAGAAGAAGGAAGTGGCCTTTTGATAGATCAGGTTGGGACATGGACTTCTTCATTTAAATGAGCTAATGCAAATTTTATGAGGAAGAAGAGAATGATGTAAATATCAAGGGAGGAGGGCTGCTTTTTTCAACCCAGGTTTTCTAGAATAGAAGAAATAAAAAAACAATTTAAAAAATATTCTCAGATTTGCTTACAATAATTTAATTTTTTAGTCTATTTTCTTTCAGTGACATAATTTCACATAGAGAGAAGCAAGGAAACATTTTTATGAAATTTTTATGAGAATTTCAGTGGTTAAAATAGGTGGAGTGCTGATGAAGGTTTTTAATTTGAATAACTAATCTGGCTTGGAAATACTATGAATGGCTACTTGTCCATTGAAATACTTATGAAACACTATGTAGTCACAGGTCTTTCAGTAACCTCAGAAGTAAAGCCTTAATTTTGACTAAGTAAAGCATGAAATGATAATTTAACCAAAATTCCCCGCTAACTTAAAGGCATTTAGGCTTCCTGCTGCTGTACAGGTGTAGCAACATCCCAGCCTCAGGCAGATGAAGCCAGTAAAGCAGAGAAGCTTGCCCCTGGCTGCCCATGATCTGTCATGCTCATGTGGATTCTCTTTGTGTGTGTGTGTGTGTGTGTGTGTGTGTGTGTGTTTTATTCTGACTACAGCTGAAGATCTAGATCTTCTCAATGCTAGTTTTCAAGATGGAAGCAAAATCCTCTACACGTGGACTCCGGGCACTTTGCTGCACTACGGAAGAGCCGAGCTGAAGACCTCTGACCATAGGTTTTAACAGTCTTGGTATTTCTAATGGTGCTTGAAATTTATTTGAAATACACCCCTTCTTAAACATTTCTAACACATCCATCTTCCTTTATGCCTTAAGGCCTGTCGTTGCCCTGATTGATATAGATATATTTGAAGTTGAAGCTGAAGAGAGGCAAAACATTTATAAAGAAGTAATTGCAGTTCAGGGTCCACCAGATGGTACAGTATTGGTCTCAATCAAAAGTTCTGTCCCAGAAAATAATTTTTTCGATGATGCTTTGATTGATGAGCTTCTGCAACAGTTTACAAATTTTGGAGAAGTTATACTGATAAGGTGAGTAGAGTATTTCACGTCCAAAAGCAGCTCATGACTCCTGAATATTTTCTATATTAGAAATTACCTTGTTATTGTTTGAATAGCGTATGAATACAGTTGGTGCTTGAATAATGGGGGAGTTAGGGACACTGATCATCCCCTACAGTCGAAAATCCACTTAGAAGTTTTGACTCCCCCAAAACTACTAATAGCCTGCTGTGGACTGGACGCTTTACCAATGATGTCAACAGTCAATTAACAGATTTAATATATCATATGTCTCATGTACTTAAAATAAGCTAGAAGAAAAAAAATGTTACTGAAATTGTAAGGAAGAGAAGAGACATGTACGTACTGTATTGGGAAAAAATCCACGTAAGCGGACACCTGCAGTTCAAATCTGTGTTGTTCAAGGGTCAACTGTAGTTTTATTGCCAAACTATAGGAAGATCGTACTATAGAAATGTTATTCAAAGAGGTCATAGGTTTTGAAACTGAATTCTCGTTAGAAAGTTTGAAGATGAATAATAAAACTTTATGTGAACAATTGATGACAGAGATACATGCACATTTAGATGTGGTACTTAAACTTCCCATACAGTCTACTATATAACAAAGCCCCATGGCAAAATGAAGCTGCGATCACTGTTTCATTTTTATAAGGAGAGCTCGGAGTAGACTAGAGTGACTTTTCCTCCCTCAGTTTAAGAAATTTCATGTTTTAAATAGTTTTAAGTACATTTAATTTTCCAACTAATGGAGAAGCAGCACCACCAGATGAACAGCCAGGAGTCATCCATTTCAATCTTGGTTTTTGTCATTGACTTAACCATCTGCCTTTTGCAAAAGCAGATGCTTCTTTCCTTGTTTAAAAAAAAAATGTTCTCTTCCAAGTGTACAGCAGTTTTGAGAGACTGAATGACATGTATGTGTTTGAATTTCATAGGGAAGAGGTTTGATTCCTTTCGGTGCTTTTCATCTCATTTAGGTACGTTTTATAGCTGTTTGGTAGATAGATCTCTGTACTAGATGCTGTGGTAGAGCAGAGGAAAATTGAAGACTCGATTCCTACTTATCATCTAGTTGGGAAGATGAGAATTGTGTAATGGCTTCCCTAGATCCTAAACAGTACACCACAGACTGAAGATGGTGCGCTCTCTGTAGAGTGAGAAGCAGGCCCAAGAAACCTAGAGTCCTTTCAGAAAGCAAATGAGCAACCAGAGAAGAAATTACATTTATATATCCCTCAAATCTTTTAACAAAGATCCACCCCAAAGCTTTCAAATAAAACATTTCTAAACTCCTAAGGCACTAGAAAGTACATAGTGAAATCTCCAGGTTTACAGATGACAGTAAGCTTTGCCAAGTACAGAAAGCCAAACTACCAGGAGCACAGTGTGGGCAGCATAGTGGCAGACAAGTGTCCTCATGAGCAAATGTAGATTATGACACTGGACTAGAGAGAATCCAAAGCGTACATTAGGGATGAAAGTCTCTGATACAGGAAGACAACCTATCTTTATGACCCGGTCTTGAAGAAATTTGGTATTAAATGGGAGCCAAAAACGTTCCCCACATTGCTTGACATCGTTTGAAAAAGTATTGGTAGGTGCCTGGGTAGCTTAGTCGCTTGGGCGACAGCCTTTGGCTCAGATCAGGTCCCATATCAGGCTCTTTGCTCAGCAAGGAATCTGCTTCTCCCCTGCCCCTCACCCCGCTCTTGTGTGCGCTGTCTCTCTCTCTCTCACTTTCTCTTTCTCAAATAAATAAAATCTTAAAAAAAAAAAAAAGAAAGAAAGTATTGGTAACAAACCAAGGTATTATTCTAACATTATAAAACTACGGGTTGTCTCCATACGTGGAATATTCTAGTTGTTATACCTGCAGACAGCCAGGTTAGAATAGACAGACAATGGAAGTAAACAAAGAGAGGACTGCTGTCACCAGCGAAGCTAAACTGACCACTGTCTTTTGGTCTAGAATAATATAACTGTTAAGGAGTGACTGAAGTCTATTTGTAGACTTTATTTGTAAATAAGAGATTTATAAAATTATTATTAATGAAATTCATTTATTAAATAAAAATTGTAGACTTTATTTGTAAATAAGAGATTCCCTGGAAATGTAAACGGAACAAACATAGATACTTCTGTTAGTTAGGGGAAAAATCTAGAAGCTTTTGCCCTAGTGGGCAAAGATAGGAAGAGAATACAGCCTCTTCCTCTTGATATCCATAAGCCATGCTTTTGAATCCTAGGTTAAATGTGTGTGTGTGTGTGTGTGTGTACATGTACATGTTTTCCCCTTTGAAAAATGTGCAAGGATTTCTGATCTTGATTTATATAATTGGAAGTAGTTCAATGTGTAAAATTGTTCTGTAAGTAAGACAGGTAATGTTTTTGTTTTCCTCTTTTTTTAATGATAACAATATTACGTATCAGTGATCATCTTATTCAGAACTTGTTCTAAAGTCCTTTTAATTTTTTTCCTTTTGGGGTTTCTTATTTCAAAATTACAAACTTAGAATCACTGAAGTCGCAAGAGAGTAGATGGCTGTTAGTAATAAAGAAAATAAAGTATAAAGTAAAGTACCTTGGGGCCAACCAGATATATATATTCTAATGAAAACTCCCTATCTTATTTCTTGGTCAAAGAAAATTTGCTTCAGGGAAGTCTTTGAGACCATGAAAATACATAGTTCTGGACTGCAGGGCCTGGAAACTTGGATTCTAGCCCTGAAACTCATTATCCTTAGAAGGTCACTTTGAACAAGCCACTTACAACCTCTGGCCCTTTTTTCCCTTGTCTGTGAAATGAAGGATTAGATTAGCAGGGATCACAAATGGAGGTCCACAGGTCTGACTGCTTTTTTAGCATAGTATTTGAAAGAAATTTGAATTTGAAGCTTTCTGAGGAAGAGTGCCCTCTCCAGGTCACCAGTGGCCCTACTGCTCTCCCTGTTTTTTTTGTTTTGTTTTGTTTTGTTTTGTTTTGTTTTGTTTTGTTTTTTACTTCCTGGCCTCTATAGGCCCTTGTTAATAGTCATTGGGCTAGTCGTTGGGCTAGTTATATATAAGATATTGACTAATTTTTATGTTTTATTTTCCTCTTTCTTGAAGGTTTGTAGAAGATAAAATGTGGGTTACATTTTTGGAGGGAAGCTCTGCCTTGAGTGTTCTGAACCTAAATGGTAAAGAGGTAAGGCAGCATTTATAGATTCGAAACCATTTTGAAATAAGGTATCCAAAGATTATGTTGTTATAGACAGGCTGCAAGATTATCTAAATGTATTTCCAGTGCAGGACTATATGGTATGCTTTATTATTTATTATTTAGACTAGGTTTCTAACCAGCTAGGAATTATTTTGGTCCTCCCTAAAGATACTAACCATTGGTAACAGACTAAGAAGAAAACATGTTTATCACCTAACTAGATTTTTATTACATGGAAACTTAATTAATTGGGATAGATATTGTGGGTCCTTCGTGGTAGGAGAGATTTATATCAGAGGAAGAAAATGCTTTATTTACAACTAAACAAGGGAGCAAGATACTCTTTATTCTTAGGAACTGCTTTTATTGGCTTGGATCATGGTACCCAGAAACTTCTTTCAGGCATAGATAAAATAATTCCCAAAGATAACAAATTCATCCCACTGAAATATTTTAGAAAGTTTTAGTTAGTGGAGGTATTCCTAACCTGTGACTTACAACGTTATTGATGGAGGAAATTTACATAAACGGCCTAGAATAGTTTTACTTCTATAAAGTGCTATGTCTGTCTATTTTTTTCTGAATGCTTTGGACTGATCCTAAATTTCTAAGTGTATGGTCACTAGAAGGAAGGACCAAAATCCAGACCTAATTTCTCCAACAGTGGGCGCCTCATAAGGTCTTCCCTGAGATTGCTTTTTCTGTCACATTACTTCAGTTTCCTTGGAGTAAAAGGACAGTTGCCACACATACATTGCTTTTTTTTTTTTTTTTTAAAGATTTTATTTATTTATTTGTCAGAGAGAGAGAGGGAGAGCGAGCGAGCACAGGCAGACAGAGAGGCAGGCAGAGGCAGAGGGAGAAGCAGGCTCCCTGCCGAGCAAGGAGCCCGATGTGGGACTCGATCCCAGGACGCCGGGATCATGACCTGAGACGAAGGCAGCCGCCCAACCAACTGAGCCACCCAGGCGTCCCCATACATTGCTTTTGAAGTAGGTTTTATATGCTTGTTTTCCCTGAATGAAATAGTAATACACTCAAGTAAAAGCAAATCCTGCAATACAGAAAAGTATAAAGAAAAATAATGAATAATACTATATAATAATAATAATATATAATACTATATAATAATAATAATCCAACATCACAAAATAATTTCTCTTAACCTTCATAGATGCATGTGTATTAAAACCAATAGGATTATACACACAGTTGTGTACATAGTAACGCAAGCAGGATATACATGTATACATATGCACATGCACAGATGCAAATAAGATTGTGTCGTAAATGCTATTTTCTCACTACCTCTTCACTTGAGATGGTATCATGGACATTTTTCTGTATGAGGAAGTATGTTTTTAAGGTCTGCATGAATTTCATTACATGGATAGATACGTAAATGTATTTAACAAACCCTTATTAATAACTAGATTGCTTCCAAATTTAATTATTAAAACCAACATTCCAGGAAAGTCCTCTATATGCTCTAATTTTGTGTGCTTGTCCTGTTTATTCCTGACCTTAGGATAAATTCCTAGATGTCAATTTGCTGTGTGAGAGAATGTAGGCATATTACAGTTTGATGCTTGTTGCCTAAGTGCTCTTCAGAAAGTATGGGTCTAATTGTATTATGCCTTAGATTACCTAATGTCGATATCCTAATCGATATTGGGTAATTTGTAGCTTGGACAACCTGAAAAACCGGAAGTGGTATGTCATTTCCCTTAGGATTTTCATTGCTGGTTATCTTAATGTATTGGTCATTGGTACTTTCTAAATTAGCTGCATATGCCCTCAGCCTATTTTTCCCGGGGTATTTACTCATCTTCTGAAGCAGCCTTGGTGTGAAGTTCAGTCCCTTTGCATTTGGGCTGCAGATATTCCTACCTGTCGATCTTGTGACTTCGTTGTATCTTAACTGTATGGAAATTGCTGATTTTTAAATTTAATTTTAGCTTTAGTTTCTTTAAAGCATGTCTTCATCCCATGAGGATATAAATATTTAAGAGCAACTCTCAACTTGGCAGTAGCTTACGCCCTTGCTGAGAATTTCTTTTGTCTTTCTCTGATAGTTTAATTTTCCTTGTTTACAGTTTTTCCCCTCCTTTTCAGCCTTGTCCCTCACCCTCAAGTCTAGTTATCTGTATTACGCTCTTAGAAAATACCCACTCTTAGCACCCCAAAAATATTTTGAAAATGCTATAAAAATTATGTTTATGGAAAGTATATAATATGTGTAATTTGTCCTTCTCAAAGCTAGACATTTCCAAACCTCTATTCTGTTGCCTTTGTTAATAATATTATTTCAGCCCCAAATCTTCTAGGATGTAGATCCTTAAGAGCTCTTGCATTCCAGGGAAGGAGCTGGGGAAAGCAGATAGCTGAAGTGGGGCAAACCTAAAGGATGACCTTCTTGAGCATGTTCTTTTTTTTTTTTTTTTTAAAGATATTATTTATTTATTCAAGAGAGAGAACACAAGCAGGGGAAGTGGGGGAGGGAGAAGCAGGCTTCCCGTAGAGCAGGGGGCTCGATGTGGGGCTTGATGAGGGGCTTGATATCGTTCTCGATGTGGGGCTTAATCCCAGGAGCATGGGATCATGACCTGAGCCAAGGCAGACATTTAACGATGGAGCCACCCAGACGCCCCTTGAGCGTGTTCTTTAAAGACCCATGAAGCCTGTTGCCAAGTTCTGAAATGGAATTGATTTGGTCTGATAAGCAAGCAAAGGATTATTAGTGTCTTAGGACACTGACTTCAAAGCTCAGCATGGGTACTAAATGACTGTAAGGGCGCCTGGTTGCCTCAGTGGGTTAAACCTCTGCCTTCAACTCTGGTCATGGTCTCAGGGTCCTGAGATCGAGCCCCATGTTGGTCTCTGCTCAGCAGGGAGCCTGCTTCCCCCCCTCTCTCTGCCTGCTTCTCTGCTTGCTTGTGATCTCTTTCTCTCTGTCAAATAAATCTTAAAAAAAAAAAAAATGACTGTACTGGGGCTGCTGGGTGGCTCAGTCCTTAAGCGTCTGCCTTCAACTCAGGTCATGATCCCAGGGTCCTAGGATTGAGCCTGCATCCGGCTCCCTGCTCAGCGGAAAGCCTGCTTCTGCCTCTTCCACTCTGCCTGCTTATGTTCCCTCTCTCACTGTGTCTCTCTATGTCAAATAAATAAAATCTTGAAAAAAAAAAAAAAAAAAAGACTCTACCGTTCTGGCCAGCAGCTTTCAGTGTATCCATCCCGTGCCTTCAAGGAATTCTCATGTCGATAGCACATTGAGCCGAGCAAGATCTGTACCCACAAAGGGGCCAGCTGTCTTCACAGCATGTTGGGTACAGCCACACAGCTCCTTTGGAAATACCAGAAAAGTTCACTTATTTTATATACTCCAGAAGCTTTTTAAAGGAAGGAAGTTGAAACTGTGTAGGAGAGAGCTTAGGTTTTAGAAAGCAAGTTTGTTACATGGCGTGGATTTTAAAAGACACTGTCTTTCTAGTGCACAGTCTCTGACCAAGGAGTCTTGTGGCTGTCTGCAAGTTTTTTGAAACTATTTTTTGAATATGTCAACAGGACAGTGTGACTTAATTATAATGTGTTTGGCTGTTGTAGATTATACTTTGGTCTAAAAGCTGCTCACATTTATAGGAAAGGCAGAATGCCAAGTCATCTCTTCTGTAATTGTTCCTTGTAGGGCCAATTACTTAATCTGTGGATCAGAATCAAAGGAAGTATCAAATTATGTGGCACAGTTTTCAGTGAATTTACACCTGGCCAGGGAAAGACACTGGCTACAGCAAGAGAGAAGAGATCTGTGTGCACTCCAGAAGAGAAGACCTTAGACTGAGCAACATGGGCTTTTAAAGGGAAAATCAGCAATGTTTAAGCTACTTAAAAATTCAGTATGTGTGAGGCAGTACGTGTTGAATCGAGTCTAGCTGAATTAAGCCTAAACTTATTGCATAGTGTAACTAACATAGTGTAACATAGCAGTCTCTTCATTCCAAGATAATTTTCATGCTAATGAATTTTTATTTTCCATCTCTTTTAATCAACTAGTTATTGGGTCGGACTATAACTATTACCTTAAAAAGTCCAGACTGGATCAAAAATTTGGAGGAAGAAATGAGTTTAGAGAAAATAAATGTTGCCTTGCCATCATCGACAAGCTCCACCCTGCTTGGGGAAGATGCGGAGGTCACAGCAGATTTCGATATGGAAGGTTTGTTTATGGAACACATGTACTTCTGTGCTTCTAGATAAATGTCCTTTCCCATCAGCCCTTAGTCTCCAGGTTTTTCCATCTCTGTGTTCTTGTAACACACAGAGCAGAATTAATTAGATTTTGTTTTGCATTACATTGTCTGTTTTGCCTGTACCTAGACTTCAGGTAGCAAATGTGTTTGCCATTCTTCCATTTAAAGTCAGAGCTTTACAAGTGTGAGTTTATGTCCCTCTGTGCTCAGAGCATGAATTGATAATTCTGGTGTGTAGTTTGGTCCCACTAGTTGTGGTTAAGGTAGAAAAGTAGAAGTTCAAAGTAGGTGTTCTAACAACAGAATGGCATTCAGAGTTTTTACTACAAAAGAAGATACATTTCAAAGCAATTTTAAAAAGATTCTCGAGGACACTAGGAACACATGTATTTGAATGGACCCATATAAATGTGGCCATTTCAGATTTCGCATTTAGTTCCTAGTTATCTGGATAATAATTTCCTTAAATGTCATCAAGACATGCCGGCACTTTCTTATGCCGTGTGCTGTGTTACTCAGGCATATTTCCCATGACAGTGCATCCCTTAGCTTATAAAATGAGCATATATCATACTGTGAGGCCATGCACATTCCACAGAACACATTTAAGAGTTGAGCGTCTTACAGGACATCTCCATCTTTCATGTTTCTCTGTTCATTCCTTGACTTAGTCCATACATTTCTGTCCTACCTTGTATGTGCCAGGTGCGCACTGGGTGCCGAAAATGCAACAGATGTCTGACTTGTCTTTCCAGAATTCCTAGCTTGGCAGTGTTACCAGTGAGCTGGCAGTGACAGGTGACAGAGATACAGTTATGAATGGCACTGCAGTAGTTCACGGGACGGGACGGTGGCCTACCTCGGATTTGGGAAGTAGGGCAAGTTTCCCAGAGAACTTGAAATTTGAACTGAGAGTCTGAAGTGGCTGGGTGCAAATCAGATAAGGGATGGTGGAGAGGGTGAGCCAGGAAGAAGGAAGGTGCAGGGACCGAAGAGGGAAAAGGCTCCGACCTCTTCTGTAAGCATGCCCATGAGGGAGTAAAAGAGAGGAAAGAAATCAAGCAGGGGAGCCGTGTGGGGTAGAAGATGAATTTGGTTTGGCTCATGTCTAGCTGAGGTATCTTTGGAGCCCCCGGGCTCACATGTAGGCTGCGGGTGCGTGAGGCGGGTACTCTGCAGAGTGCTCTGGGCCCACAGGACAGCTCTAATGCCAGTTCAAGTCACGGGTTTGCACTGGCTTGGCCAGAAGCACTGTATAGGGATGGGAGAAAACTGGTCCTGGGAATGAACAGAGAAACCCAGATTTTAAAGACAGGCAGAAGGCAGCTGCTCACAAAAGGAAATTGAAAAGAAACAACTAGCACTGTCCAAGAGGCAAGAGGTGGGCCTAAAAAACCAAAGAAAGAAATGGTAACAAGGAAGGCACAGTGAGCGGAGTCCTGTGTCTCAGACGGATGAGGAGACATGGGGACAACTTGCCCTTTGGGTGTAATAACAGTGACGGAGGCTGTTGGTCACACTCATGAGAGGACTTGCGGTGCAGCGAGGAAGCCAGATGGTGGTAAATTGAGGTGTGGCTAGAAGGTGCAGAAGTGGAGAGTGTCTACAGACTCTTTAAAAAAGCTAAGCTTGGGGCTGGGGGGGGGGGGGGGGGGGTTGCGCCGCGTTGTTCTCGAAATGAGAAAGGCTTGGGAGTGCTTCGTGCCATGGGAAGGGCTGACGATGTTGGGGACCAGCTGGGCAGAAGTGGTGATAGAGCAGGTCCCTGAGAAAACAGGGTGGGCTGAGCCACAAAGACCTGAGTGCAGCTGTGGGGTTAGACTCCGGCTTGGCTGCAGGTTGTTGCAGGGGGGACGGGGGTCCCATCTTAAGACTTCTCTTTCCTTTGAGACGTGTTCAAAGTTGAGGTTATCTGCAGGAGTAGGGCAACCCACAGCGTCAGGAGAGTTGAGAAGTTTCCAGATAAAGCTCCTTAGAAGGAGTTGGGGGGTGGGGGGGAGCGGCAGAGAGCCAGTCATGAAATTCCCAGGCAGCTTTGGGGTCCCAGAGGAGGCTGAAAATTGCAAATTTAATGCGACCACAATGGCCAGCACCATGGGATTCTCTCCAGTGGCAGCTCTGGTGCCGTGACGGAACTGATGCGGGTGGGACAGAAGAATGTGCCATGGGGGTGGCCCAGCTGAAGCGCCACTGAAGCCGAAGACAGATTCCGAGAAGCAGAATGGCACAGGGGCTAAAAGGAGAGGGATCAAAGGCCTGGATCCTGATAAAGTCTCGAGAGGGAAGAGTCACTGCGGGAGAGAACTGAAAGGCTGGGAGCTAGGGTTGGAGTAATATGTCAGAGCTAGTGCACCTGGGAGGGCTGTGTGTGTTTGAGTGGAAGAGAGTGTAAAGACAAGACCAAGGGTTTTCAGGTGTTGATGTGTCTTCTACATGGATTTTGAGGTCACCCAGAGAAATGGTAGGACGCGACTATCATCCTGCTCTCTGCTTAGTCCTCGATGAGTGCTTTCAAGTCACCGCCAGAGGGAGGCTGGAGATTGCGGCAGCAAGCAAGGGGGTGTGGGGAGCAGTAACATAAATTCCTGCAGGCATAGCCTCAAAGAAGTAGCCCTTAGTGGTCAGGATTGGAGGTTTAATGTTCTGAAATTGGAATCAGGTTGTGAGGGAACCCTTACTCTACTTTCCAACCTTGAGAAGGAGGGGCATGGGGCGGCCCCAGGAGAGCACAGGGGAAGGAGCATGAAGAGACTCTTGGGGAAGGGTATGGAGCTGTCCGAGAGCCTGTCTGCTGTAAGGGCTGGAGCTGAGTTGAGGGCAGTGGAGAGGGAGCAGGTCCATGGAGAAAGTAGGAAGGTTTGGAAGGAGAGCAGTAAACTTTTGAGTCAGCCAATGCTGAGATCACTGCTCCTTGGAACACTGGAAGCTGTTGTGTCAGCGCCACTCCAGGTGTTAGTCTCCACTGGCATCCTGGTGCTCTGAGGGAGCCGCTCTCTTTAGTTACATGATCTATAAGGGTGTTTGCACTAATTCTAGTTCTGTACATATAAATGTTTTATCCATGTCTCCATGCTTAACCTCTACGTGTTTGCAGTGTTATAATGCACCCCTTGAAAATGAGCTTCTGAGATTGGTGAAAACAAACCTCTGAGAAAGTGAAAATGGTGCTAATTTTAATAACCTAATTTCCTTAGGTGATGTCGATGACTACAGTGCTGAAGTTGAGGAAATTCTTCCCCAGCACCTCCAGCTGTCTTCAAGTTCTGGCCTTGGCACTTCACCGAGCTCTTCGCCCCGGACCAGTCCCTGCCAGTCACCAACCATATCGGAGGGCCCCGCACCGTCCCTTCCCGTAAGACCAAGTCGAGCACCATCGAGAACTCCGGGACACCCAACTTCACAAGGTATGTATTTTCTTTCAAGTTTTCTGTGACTTGCCCTAGCTGATCTGTTTGATTTTAGATGGTCAAATCTCTGATGCCTTTGGATCTGTACCGTTTTTTCTGTGCACACAAAAGAGGAAACCTGTAGATGGTAAGCCCTAGGTGGAAAGGAAACTCATCATCACTTTCATTAGATGAGGTTTTCATTAAACCTTTTTTTCTATGAGTTCAGGTCGATCCAGCTCTTAAAATTGTTGTTTTTCTATTAGAGTAAGCACTCAAAACCATCTGGGCTATATCTATATATAACCTAGACATAACCTGTATTATGGTATGAAGCAAAAAGAGACAAAAAAATTTCTTGAATTCAAATTTAAGAGTCATTAATCCTTCAAAATTGGAAGATTCGTCCTGGAAGTTGTTATGCGGCATGACTAAATCACTGTTCTGTGCTTACCAATATCTCCAGAAGCTGTCCTCCATTTCGTAAATTTCTCCAGTTCTCCCATACAACTCTTAGAGGACTGGCTTCATTAGATTAGTTCAAGATAAGCTAAGGTGTAAAGAAAAGAAGAGACTCCTTTTTTCTTCTCTGTATGGCCCAGTAGACTACAGATGACCTTATTCAACCAACGCTTTGTGCCCTCTTGATCGGGCCACTCAGTAAATCAGCTCCCAGCACTTGGGGTCTAGGTAAGGCATTCATGCAGAGCGAGCACTGTTGCTTCCGTGATACCAGAGGGGAATTTAATGGCAGAACTGCTTACGTTATTGATAATAAAAATGCTTGTCAGTACACAACAGTACAAAGGGAGAAAATGAGCAAAATCGAGAATTCATCATATGTGTTGGGAAGTACCATACCTTGTGCTCACACCCACATGGAACCTGATCTTACCTCGTGTACTTTTTTAGGTTCTCCTCTTGACACTCTACCAGCAGCCCAGCAGCAGCAAAGAGATTCTCAGCCCCTAGAGCCCAAGAGGCCTCCTCCTCCCCGCCCGGTTGCCCCTCCTGCGCGCCCTGCTCCCCCCCAGAGACCACCTCCTCCTTCAGGTAACAAATCAAGTTCCACTTCTGCTAGATTGAAAATCTTCCTCCATTCTATTTTAAAATGTTTTGCATGTCTTCAGACTTCGAGCTTCTGGATTTTACTGTTTTCCTATCATTATTGCTACTGCCTGAGCCTTTCTCTGAGGAACATGTAGGAGCAATGGCACAGGTAGAAAGAGTGTCTCCCGACTAGATTTCTGTAATGGGTTTTTCTAGCTGCCCTCTTACCGGTGTGCATAAAATGTTTGTTTTGCTTTTGCTAATTTGATGTAGTTGTACGAATTTCTGTAAAATATATAATTAGAACTGAAGAACATACATATACTTACTTATAATCAAGTTTTATATATTTGCTTAAATATTCTTTTTAAGTGACTATAGTGCCATTACTTAAGTTATTAAAAGTATTTGCCTTAAATAATAGCTTTTTTATAGTACCAAGATACTAGTATGTAGATCCTACGTGATATTTAACATCATGAATACTGTAGTAAATCTTTGACATTTCATTTCTTTATTTAATGTCCTTTCCTTTCTGCTGCATATTTTCTTATGAACTATAAGGGGCTAGGAGTCCTGCACCTGCTAGAAAAGAATTCGGAGGTAACCGTTTATATTTGTTATAATATATGCATCTTGGTTTATTCATCTTTTAGAGTTTGATCCCTGTAATGGAAAGACATTTTAGATTTGTTTGATAAAAGCCAAAGTGAATGATATTTATACTTCAAGTTAAAAAATAGCTCCAAACTTCCATTATTTTTCTGTTAAGTAAAAGATCAGAGTTTAATTTTACTAATGAGCCAAGCTGATACAGGCTTCCATTCTCCAGGTGGACATAGTTAAATTACCAATCAAAGACTGATAATGCTTTTTCTTAATAAATATAGTTAGGTTGGTTATACAGATTTAATTCCCCCAAATCACCTTAATTTCAAAAGGAATTCAGGTATAGTAAATATAGAACATTTTCCAAGTATTTGCTTAGTGATGCTCTAGTACTTTCCTTTTCTAGGAATTTAGCAAATCTAGTGATTAGCAAAATTTCCTAGCAATGCAAATTGAGGCTATAATTTTCTGAAATATATCTTTCATTTTGCATGGCTTTATCATAACTTGTCATAAAACTCATGCTTCACTTTTTTTTAACATGAGAATGATTTTATTTTTTTCAATAAGGAAATTTTTATTAACAAATGGGTCTTTTGTAAAAAAGTGTACTTTGGTTTACATGAAAATTTCTCACAAAAGTCAGTTAAATGTGTGTATTTGATAAGTTCATTTAATCTAGTTCTCAGGAGAGGATGAGCCAAGTGATCATAGTTCCATAGAAGAGCCTTTAAAGATCCACTGTTACTACTGTTAAGGCTTACTCCCTATACGTGTGTGGTCATTCTGTTTCCACTCTGGCTGCCTAATGCCGTTGCTGACCGATTCACATGTTATCCCAGGTTGTCTCTGCTTATATGCAGATCTTAAGGACTTTGTATAAAAAGTACAGCTCAATTATTTCAGCCTGACAGCTTCTGCAGAATGCTGCTGGACGATAACTTTTCCATCGACTTACAAAAAAAACTTTAATTTTTCCCGTTTTAAACTCCTACTTTTATTTATATTTTTATGATAACACCTAATTATCCTCTTCCTTCAATTAGGAAAGCAACCGGCAGAAAATAAATAAATTTTTAAATGAATTTGTGAAAAGTTATATCAAACTTAACTTAAAATCTTAGTTTTTAAAAATGGCTTCTTTTCATAATTCTTTTGTAGGCAATGTTTGCACCTTACTTTTTGAAACCTATAAACTAATAACTCCTTTAAGGCAGTAACTTAGAGAAAGTCATTACAGTACCTTTAGAGTTTTCTTAAAATAATGCATCAAAAACTAACTTCTAAGAAACTAATATAGTCCCATAGAAATTTAAAATGAAATTGATCTGTGATTTCTTTTTCCTTTTTAACTGTCAAATATTAGAGCTTTTATTAGTGATTTAACTGTGAATATAATGAGATGATCATAAAGCCAAGGCTTTCATTAAGAGATTTTAAAATTCCCTAGAGCTCGTAACCTGATGTAAAAAAAAAATTGTCATAGCCTTTCTATCCTGTTTGAGGAAGGGGAGGACTGGGGTTTCGGCTAGGCTTCTGAAGTCACTTTGGTTTGTATTAGTATCTTTGAAGATGTTAAAGCAGTGAAAGAACCTTTTAGCAAAAGTCAGTTGGATGCGGGAATTGTTTTGTGTGCCTGCCTTTCATTCTGTGCTGTGGGCCCTGAACAATATACAGCTTCTGTTCTTTCTCTGAAAAGGTGTTGGAGCCCCTCCCAGTCCTGGGGCAGCTAGGCGAGAGATGGAAGGTAACAAGACTTCTGCATCATAGAAACGGACCTCTCATCTCACTGCTAAATGTCAGCCCCCCCCAGTGTGTTAAAAGTACACTAAATCTGTCCTTAGTCTGCCCGTAAACTTCCCCTTCTTCCATGTACACCGTGTAACCTCGTACTTTCTCTCTTCTCATTCCGTGTTGTGGATAGTTTCTAACGGGCTACCCATTTAATTACCCTGTGATTCTTGTGTTGTATTGCACTCTGTTTTGTATATATTTCATATCTACTTAGGATGTGGAATTACTGTACAGTGTTATTTTAAGAAAAATGCCTTTCAAAATTATTTTCAGAGTAAGTCAAACATTTAGAAATGTACTATACCAACTCTGCAGTTTTAAAAATTAATAATTATCATGAAACCCTATTAATTCAGGTCCAAGAATAAGTATTTCGTGGGTGATTTCAAATAACATAAATTTTTTATGTATAATGATGCTGAACTAAATTTGCTTAAAAGACCATTAAGACTAAAAGCCATTCATTAAGATTATAGTTATAAAGGGCTGATGTATTTAATATGACAATTGCACTTGAATTTCCTTTAAAAAATATTAAATTTGAAATGCCACCCATTATAGTCCCCCATGCTCCTTTTGGCCCCCAGAGTGATTTATTTCATTTTGTTTGTCTAGGTCTAGTATCTTTCTAGTGAATTTGAACTGCATATTAACACTGTCTTCCATAAGGCAAATACTTAGTTGTGAGATGTGCCTGCCTTCTACTTTAATCAGAGGATTTTGTTGTAGAACTCTAAAATTCCTCATCATAAGATTCCTTTATCCATAGTGATAGCTACAGCACGAAGCTCTAAAACAGGGTTGTTAGGAGCCCCTGATATAACCTGGAAAATGCTCCGTATGCTGGGGAGCAGAGGTAGTAAGGTCACATCTTGTCACCATTCACACAAGCTGACCTTATGTTTTCAGGGTTCACAGGAGAGAACTCTGTTGGGAAGGTCACCTTAGAAGTCACCCTGTGCGTGAGAGATCAGATTGAGGGCTAAGTTGTCTCGCATGAATGTCACTCTGAGTATTCTAATTTTTTTCTCTTTTGGGGCATTTCCTTCAGGACAGATAGTAGCCTTCATCATTATCCAAAGCAGTGTACCTTTGGTTCCCATCTCATGCCCCCATCTGTGCTGGTAATGAAACAGAACAGCCAACTGATGTTTTACGCAGTGTTGCTTGATTGCTTACTTATGACTCGTTTCTTTTCCCCTTCCTGCTTCAAAGCACCCAAAAGCCCTGGAACAACACGGAAAGATAATATAGGTAAAAACACTTGAATTTAGCTACTTAACCTTAAAACTGGACCACGTAGACACTTGGGATAGAAGTACATGGGTTATTTCTTTCTTTAAAAAAAAAACAAAAACAAAACTTAAGTACATGGTGTGATGTCTTTTTTTCAGGACGGAATCAGCCTTCTCCTCAGGCAGGACTCACAGGCCCAGGACCTGCTGGATACAGTGCAGCCAGACCGGTAGGCAACACCTAGCCTGGGGGCCCATGGGTTTAGGGTCTGGGTCCCGGTTTGCTGTCAGTCAGGTGTGTTATCTCGGAAAATCACATGTCAAGGCCTAGTTTCCTCAACTCTAAAATAAGGGAATGGCACTTGATGACCTCCAGGGTACCCTTTAAGGATAACATTAACTCTTCAAAGATAACAAACACCCAAAGAACAAATAATCAATCAAGAAATGGGCAGAAGCCATGAACAGACATTTCTGCAAAGAAGACATCTGAATGGCCAACAGACACATGAAAAGTGCTCAACATCACTCGGCCTCAGGGAAATAGAAATCAAAACCACAGTGAGGTACCACCTCACACCAGTCAGAATGGCTAAAATTAACAAGTCAGAAAAGACAGAAGTTGGTGAGGATACAGAGAAGGGGAACCCTCCTACACTGTTGGTGGGAATGCAAGCTGGTGCAGCCACTCTGGAAAACAGTATGGAGGTTCTTCAGAAAGTTGAAAATAGAGCTACCCTATGACCCAGCAATCGCACTACTACTATTTACCCAGAAGATACAAATGTAGTAATCCGAAGGGGCATGTGCACCCCAGTTTTTAGAGCAGCAGTGTCATAATAGCCAAACCATGGAAAGAGCCGAGATGTCCATCAACAGATGAATGGATAAAGAAGATGTGGTGCGCGCGCGCGCGCGCACACACACACACACACACACACACACACACACACACACACAGGAATACTATGCAGCCATCAAAAAGCAAAAAATCTTGCCATTTGCAACAATGTGTTTGGAACTAGAGGGTATCATGCTAAGCAAAATAAGTCAATCAGAGAAAGACAATTATCACATGATCTCTCTGATATAAATTTTAGAGGCAGGGTGGGGCGATCGTTGGGGGAAGGGAGGGGAAAATGAAATAAGATGGAATCGGAGGGAAACAAAGCATAAGTGACTCTTAATCTCAGGAAACAAACTGAAGGTTGCTGGGGGGTGGAGGGGGAGGGATGGAGTGACTGGGTGATGGACAAATGGGGAGGGTATGAGCTATGGTGAGTGCTGTGAGTTGTGTAAGACTGATGATTCACAGACCTGTATCCCTGAAACAAATATTACATTATATGTTAATTAAAAAAAAAGTGAGATGCTAGGTACAAGGTAGAGCAAATGATTCTCTGAAACTAAGACTGTAGCCGTCAAGGATAGTAGGTGATGTGTTTTATTGCCATAGTATTAACTGACACTAAACCAAAGCTTTGTGTTTTACAGAAAAGTCTTTAGAAATGTAGAAAAATTCATGGTGAATAAAGTTTCATAAGAATTTTCCTTCCCTAAAAAAAATACACACACACACACACACACTTTATTATTTGAACAAAAGTGATGTCCTTCAGTAATTATGGTCCCTAAATAACTTAGAATCTCAAAGTTTATGAGATGGCAGTGTGTTTGGGCAGCTTTTTAAGGTATTACCTGAGTAATTAATGAGGATAGAAAGTCATCCTTCAAGAGGAAGAATTTTATAACCGGATCGCAGGGAGAACATTTATGATAGGAGTCCATGTACTAACTGGTTCTGAAGGTAGGAAGAGTAGGGGCGTGGATAGTGCCACAGGGCTTTTCCCTTCCCTGTAAATCTGGGGTTTTCTGTGTTTAGCCTTTGTCCTCGTACACATGAAATTACTGTAATATTTACCCAAATGAACATCTTCTCTGGGATCTAACAAGTAAGTAATAAAAGAAGACGGAAACCAGAACCAGTGGCTTGTCCAGTGGTGCCTGCACTGGATGGGAGCCCTTGCTTAGGAGTGGGACCCTGGAGCTGGTACTCTCTGGAGAAGAGCAGGGGCTGCTTCTGATGAAACCGCTTCTAATTCCTAGTAAGAAATGGACAGAGCATTTCTGAGACAGAAAACTTTGTCTTTCCTGTTGTAGCTGTCTAGTTAACACCCACCCTAAAAGTCCTTTACCGCATATAATATTACACCCCGCATTAAAGTGTCTGTGGGGGGGGGGGCTGGGTTGAGTAAATGTCTCAAATGTTTTTTTTTCCCATTTTTAGACTATTCCGCCCCGTGCTGGAGTGATCAGTGCCCCGCAGAGCCATGCTCGGGCATCTGCTGGCAGACTGACCCCTGAAGGCCAAAGCAAACCACCAGAAGTGGCGAAAGGTAGACCCTATATTAGAACTTCTAGCTTCATTCTGAGTTTTTTCACATGTCCTTTCCCCTCCTCTCACCTTCGACAACGTACTCAAGTAGGGATACCCTTCCTTCTCCCTGCAGCAAGAAATGAGGCTGCTCGGTGAGGGAGCGGGGGACTAGAACACCCCGACACCTCACAGAAGGAAGAACAGAATGCGGTTTTCTAGAAAATACCTAACATCTGAAAATTCATTGTGTAGGGTCCGTTCTTCTTCCTGAACCGCTGAAGCCTCAGGCTGCCCTTCCTGTGCAGCCTTCTCCGCCCCCGCCTGTTCAGAAGCTGCAGGAGCCTCTTGTCCCTGTCGCAGCCCCTTCGCCTCAGTCTGCCGCCCAGCCCAACTTGGAAACGCCGCCTCAGCCACCCCCTCGCAGCAGGTCGTCCCACAGCTTGCCTTCCGAGCCTTCGTCACAACCACAAGTAAGTTCCGCGGATGAACAAGATCGCCCTAAAAAGCCTCTGGCGTAGTCTTCGCCGAGACGGGGGGTTCTCAGAGAGCAAGCTTGAAATCGGGGTCTTGAGGGCGTTTCCAAGTGTTTCCCGGGCTGTTTAATATTGTTACATTTACAGTGTTTGTGACTTTTTCATTTTTTTAAATGCACATTTTACTTTAGATAGTTAATATATTAGGACCAACAGGAGTGTATTTTTCTTGTTGTTCACGGCGAATATATTAGTTTTGGCTTTCACTTTCTGGAGAGAGATGCCTTACCATTTGGCAGTGTGGTGAATTTCCAGCAAGCAGAGAATAATCCTCTCGTTCCCCCGGCAGCAAGTGGTAGTCCTTCTCTGTGGTGGAGCTGGCCCTGGGGTCCTCAGGTCTTTCCGGGTCAGTCATTGGAGCAGTTTAGATGTTTTGACCACGTAGAAACCTCCCAGAGAATGAGGTCACCTCATTGGTGTTGCTCAGAAAGCATTGCCATTGCCTTCGTGGGTGAAAATCAGAGGACCACAAGGACTTTTGCTCTGCCGGCCTGACCTCACACTGGACAGACTTGTGGTGTGTACATACAGTTATTTTTATACAGGGATTGTCATGCAAGTTAAATTGTTCTACTTTATTGGATGCGATTTTACTTTGTTATATACATTCTAGTAAAATCGTTAAAATTCATGCTTAGTAAGAACACTTTTTGTTGTCCAGCCTTACAATTTATTTTATCCCAAAGTTTTAACTTGAAAATGCCATCAAGACCAAAGAAATGGGTAAAGCTTTAGAAGTCTGCTTTTAAACTATGTGAAGACCTAAAATACACAAATAGTACACATTGGCAAATGCCCCTTAGGCACATTTATAAATAATAGTTTGTATCTATTTTTACAGATATCTGGAGATGTCAGCTAGTAGGCAGAAGTCAACAGCTTCTTGGGCTTCTATGTGGTGAAAAACAGATATTAAAGTAAACATGAGTCTTAAAATGACTATTGTTAGCACTCACCTCTTTCCCAGACAATTGGTCACCTTTGTAAAAACTGAAGAAGTATATATAATTGAGAGAAATAAAATGTTCTCTTAAGCTGATCAATAGCATAAAGTATTCTACATTTTTAGTTCAGAAAATTGAGGATGTCTGTGATACATAAAACACTGTAGAAATCCTTCAAACCACAAATATCCACTATTCCTTTCTCTCTGCCAATCCCCTTTTAGTGCGTTCTGAATTTTTCTTCTCATTTTCTTGTAATGTGTACTCTTGGCTTTTTTGTTTTGTTTTGTTTTTATGCAATTGGAGGGCAGGGTGCCTGGGTGACTCAGTCGGTTGGGTGCCCGACTCTTGCTTTTGGCTTAGATCATGACCTCAGGTTCTTGAGATCCAGCCCCATGTTGGGCTCTGCACTCATGGGGAGGCTGCTTGAGGTTCTCTCCCTCTCCCTCAGCCCCTTCCCCATGTGCGCACACGCACCCTGTCTTTCTCTCTCAAATAAGTAAATCTTAAAGAACAATTTTTTTAACTTTATTCGAATACCCAAAGGAATGTTGAATAAAATTTTTTTAGATGTAATTGGAGGGCAAAAAAGTTTCAAACTAGCCATCTTAGAGCTTTCTACTACTTTTTTAAGGGAGGAAGTGAGCCTCTATTTTACAGTAAAAGTGAACCTTAATTCCTAAGTCTGTAACGGTTTAAGTATTCTTAGACCAGTATGAACATAGATACAGTACTCTGGAAAACTTGAGAAAGAGCCAACTGTTCAGTAATATTTCAGTTTTCAGTAGAAAATAACATGGATGTACCATAGGGCGAATATTCCCATGACTACTGCATTAACATTTTCTTAGGTCATTTTCTGTTGTTTTGATTTCTGTTTTTCATTGGAATGGGTGGGTGATTTGGTGGCAGACAGCATGTGTTTCCTGTGTGGCCTGGTAGAGAACATTCTCCTCGAATCTTGTATTATCCACTTCTTTGAAACTACCAAAGATGTTTGTTTTAAATTCTAAATATTCTTTTTACTTTAGTCATTAATACCAGATTCCTCCAAACATTCATTACACACACACACTTTTCTCTCTTGGGGGAGCAGAGGGTCTTGTTTGTGTGCAGACTTGTCTTTGGAAAGGATCACAGAGTTGGTTAAGAATTTCCTCCAAGGAGAGGAGAGTGCTGGGGGGATGGAAGGAAGGGAAGCATTTTACCTTCTCGTACCTCTTGGATTTTGAACCATAAAAATAATGCCTATTCAAAAAACAATAAATGCTTAAAATTAAAAAATCTCCCAGAGCTAGAGGTTGAAAATGATAAGAATTTAAAATATGACATATCTGATATTTTGGTGATATGTGAAATCGTCTTAGAATTGAACACTTGGGGCGCCTGGGTGGCTCAGTGGGTTAAGCCGCTGCCTTCAGCTCAGGTCATGATCTCAGGGTCCTGGGATCGAGTCCCACATTGGGCTCTCTGCTCAGCAGGGAGCCTGCTTCCCTCTCTCTCTCTCTCTCTGCCTGCCTCTTTGTCTACTTGTGATCTCTCTCTGTCAAATAAATAAATAAAATCTTAAAAAAAAAAAAAAAAGAATTGAACACTTGGTAATTTTTACAAGTCGTTGTTATTAATTCTGCCCCAAATCTACAAGGTATTTAAAACATAAAAACATACATGGCCCAGCTTTCCTTTTTATTATTATTTAAATGGTCTTTGACTCTATAATTTTCTACAGAGAAGATTTGTCCAATGCAGATGACTATATAACATGTACAAAATGTAGACATGCCTTCCTTCTCTGCCTTACATCTGGCATCTTAGTCATCTGATTGTCATCTAAGAACTGGAAGTTAGGAAATTCAACCAGAGATAAAGGAACAGCCTCGCAGCTATACTGTTGTCATGAGAGTTGACAGGGAGGGAAGAGACCACGTAAGAGACCATGTAGGAGATCTCAGCATTCTGGATCTATTCAATACCTCCTACCTTCTTCTCTCAGTGCCAAAGCCAAGACACGTAGCCCTGACATCATCGAAAAAGTACTTGTTTAAATTCAGGAGTCTTCGTGTTTAGTAATCAGGAAACTCTGTTCACATTTAATATACTTCAGAGTGGTGACTTCCTCAATTGTAAAAATGAGTTTTGATATTTTAAAATAAGGTAAGCTTTAGATATTGGGGAAGATTTGCTCAAAACTGTTTTTGAGACTACTGTATTTAAAAAAATACTGCTGTGTTATGGAAAGATGATTTCATTTTTAAACAACAAAAATAGGCTCCGGTTTTTTATTTTGTTGTACCTTACCACTAATAAATTCTGAGGTGAATTAATGATAGTGTTACCATCCTTCTAAAAATTTGCTTAATATAGAATATGCCTGGATCCTGGTCATTTTGTTAAAATAAATACTGATTTTTCAATAGGGTAGTACCTTTGCAAAGTGGTGCCATTTTATACATTTTCTCTCATGATGATAACCCCATGGGCTATCTTGTGGCTGTTGTCCTCTTCCTGAGCTGCCATAACAAAAACGAGGTGGCTTAAACCACAGAAATGTGTGTTCTTAGAGCTCTGGAGGCTTGAAGTCTGAGATCAGAATATCAACACAGCTGGGTTCTGGTGAGGATTCGTTTCCCAGCTTGCAGACTGCTTCTCCCTGTGTGCTCATGTGACCCTTCCTTGGGCCTTCCAGAGGGGGAGAGAGCCAGCTCTCTGACTTGTCCTTTCATGAGGGCACAGAGATCCCTCATGAGTCCCCACCCTCCTGGCCTCATCTAACCCCAGTCACCCCCCCAGAGGCCCCACCTCCAAACACCATCCCACTGAGAGTTAGGGCTTCACCGTAAGACTTGGCAGAGGCAGGGGGACATTAGACTGCTTTTCTTAGAGATCCCAAAACCTATTTGGAATATTACTTTTGTAGGAACAAAATTTGGAAGTGGCTAGTCATCCGCCTCTGACAGAACTGAAGTTTGAGCCCTAATTTAATTATACATTTTTAAAATTCAAAATTATAAAAGAAATTAGAGTCGTCTCTTGAACGCATGCTGTGACCTGCACATTTTGCCGCCCTCAGGTTCTGTGTGTAATACAGACATAAAAGCATTTTGAAGACTGAATTGTTAGGGTTGCCGGTTGGTCTCAGATTGTCCTCCTAACGCTCTCCTTTGATGTCTGTGTTCCCTTTCTCAAAGCAGGAGCAAGCATCAGGGTAACAGGTATTGGACTCTTTCTCAATCTTATCTGTGCTTTTCATCTGTCTTAGCACATTAGATGTATGAATCTTTTGCTTCATACATCTAAAGTCTCACCCATTTTTAAAACCACCTGTCCACATTAATAAATTCTATTATCATACCATAAACCTGCTTTTTTTTTCTTAGTATTTCAAAATTTTAAGAACCATTTTAGTTCTTGTTAATGCTTTACCATTTTTTTTGCTTTTTTTTTTTAATGAAAATTAACAAAACTAAAAAGTATAACTCCAAGAAGGTAAGCTTTAGGTATTGGAAAGTCTGTTTGGCAAGACCAAACTGGGTCTTGGTTTTAATAATGGCATAAGTACATAAATAGAAAATTCAACCTTTTTTCTTAGGTTTCTTTTGGGAATTTTTTTTTTTTTGCAAAGAATTTTACTAACAGGATTATTTTTGGTAAGGAAGAACTGATGATTTAGAAAGATAAAAGTTAATATTATAATGGGATTATTTTAAGGTCCTTCCAACACCTTTCTCTGTAAAGGTACCATCATTTTAAAAATGTTAATTCACAAATCCTGCTGAAATTATAACTTAATTCTAATACAGTGAATGGTGGTGTGGCTCTCATTATAATTTCAAGTGTGATTGGGTAAAATCATCCTGCTTCTGTCAAATTACCCTTAATATATTTTGAAAACAAATTTTTTTATATATGAAAATAAAGATACTTAAATGTAGAGCATTCATTTGCCAAGGGCCTGCTATTCTAAGTTGTGCAAAGCATAAAATTCTCCTTTCTGTGTTGTGGACTGTTCATCCGCCATGGGAGAATTGGGTCCCAGACCCGATTGGGTACTCCCATTTTGTTGTATTAATCGTAATAATCCAGAGATTATGGATAATGTAGAGTTAATTATAATTTTTTATGTCTCTAACAGATTTCTCTTAAGCAAATTTTCATATATAAATATGGTTACCTTTAATACACTTAGAATACAGTTTTGAATCTGTTAAATGTTTACTTTTGTACAAATTTATTATCATATTAAGTTGAAGATAACATACTTGTTCATTCAATTATTAAGTATGTCCTAGGACAATTGAATAAAACAATTATATACTTGAAAGTTACTCACTTAATGAAATTATCCATCATTTCTTTGTACAAATGAACAGCCTTCCCTGGGGTTAAAGTAGCAAGTTACTGTTTCATAATATGCAATTATGTTTCAGGGGAAGAACTGCTGTTCTTTTTTTCAACACAGTTCACGAACATTCAGTTATTTTGACTTCACAACTATCTGAATTCATTTCGGGTAGTGCTCCATTTTGTTACTTGCAGGGCTTGAGCTAAAATTCCCTCCCCTGTCCTTTCCAACCTAAAGTTTGTCTTCTCTTTAAATTCAACATTCATATCCAAGACATCTCTTTAGTTTCAATAATTATGCACAGTTGCTATTTTTTTAAATTAAAATGAAGCATCTGATGAGCTTATTTGCTGATAAGGCCAGGGTTCTCCTTCCCATTAGAAAGGTTGCCTTTGCTCAGGCCCATAGCCACGCTCCACTTCCACTGGTTTCTTTATGAGCTAGGCACAGGGTGCACACTTTCTACGACCATGAAGTAATTCGGAACACTCCTCCTCCCAGTTCACAGCCAACTCTGTCACGTAGAAAGGACTGTGTTGCACTCATCTCGGTTTTAGAGTACACCAAATAGATAATGGGATTTACCCCCTGCTTTTAAACGGTCACTGGGTATGATTATTAATAAGCACGTCTGTTTTGGAACATTTTATCATAAGATGAAGAGGGTCAACTGAGGAATATTGTCACATTGTTCGGTCTATGAAGGAGAACTTAAAAGGCAAAGAATGCTCTGAAAATTCTTTTTTCCAAATGGAAAAGATGCGTTGTCTTTAGCTTATGAATACAAATATACTAATAAAATCCATTTCATTCGTAAAGTTGAGTTTCCGTAGTAACATCAACTTTAAATGAAAATATATTTAAAAGAACAATGAAACCACATCATCATCATAGATCGGTGTTGGAAGTCTAATGTATAGATTTAGCATAAGTTCTGGATATGGGTTTCTGAAGTTTGTGCTAACATTTGATAGAACAGGGCATGAGCAAAAGTCATTTGCTAATTCTGTACCTCCATTTTACCATATTAGGACTTGCATGAATGGAATAGTCTCTTTTTAATTTCTTCAGGGTTTAAAAAATGTGTGTAATAAAAGGGTTTATTTAGTAGAGAGTTTTTAAAGAATAAGGTTTTAGTTGTTTCATCTTACTGAAACCACCAGAGTAACAAACTACACAAAGCCGTTTTTACTTTCAAGTTTGTATACTTGCCCCTCCAGAATGAAGAATAGAGACAGGAAGCATAGGGGAGGTGTTAAAAACTATATATTACCTTTTTTTTTTTTTTCCTGATTATTGAGTGCTCTCTTTTCAGGTAAAAGCAAATGGAGTCCCTGCTGTCAGACTGGAATCACCCTTAAAGAGTGACCCGTTTGAAGATCTGTCATTTAATGTGCTTGCTGTATCCAAGCCTCAGTTATCTGTTCAAACATCATCTGTTCTAACTCCAAACCCAAAGGGGTTGGTTCAGTTGCCTTCTGCAACACAAAGTAACGTGACTACTTTGAGTTCTGTAAGTTGCATGCCTCCAATTCCAGCCCGGAGTAAATCCCAGGAAAATATGCGATGTTCTCCAAACCCATTTGTTACTAGCTTGAGCAGCACAAATCCTTTTACGGACAGGACCGCCACTCCCGGAAACCCATTTAGAGCCGAGTCTCAAGAATCTGAGGCAACTTCATGGCTCTCCAAAGAAGAGCCTGTTGCTAACAGTCCTTTCCCTTCTCTGAAGCCTCTGGGTCATACCAGTAGCAAGCCCGCATCTTCACTGGATGGTTTTAAGGACAGTTTTGATCTGCAGGGCCAGTCTACGGCAAAAATCAGCAACCCAAAAGGATGGGTAACCTTCGAGGAAGAAGAAGACTTTGGTGTGAAAGGGAAGTCAAAGTTAGCGTGTCCAGACTTACTGGATCATCAGCCAAGTTCACTTTCTGGCTCCAGCGCGACCTTTGATGATGACTGGAATAAAGATACAAATGTTCCTTTCTGTGCGTTGCCATCAAGAAGACCACCTCCACCTCCTGTCACTCTGCTCCCACCTGCCACCACCCCTTCTGGAGCTCCTTTCACAACCTTGGCATCTAAGGCATCACCCACACTAGATTTTACAGAAAGATAAGGTTATGCAATAGAAAACAATTGTTTTTTTGTTTTGTTTTGTTTTTTTAGTTTGGGCAGGTTAGAGCCAAAAGAATTGGGCATTAGTTATTCATTATGTGCAATAAGTAATTGTTAAGTGCACTGATGTTGTCATGAAATACCACTATTTAATGTGTACAGAGTTGGAATATGTGTATATTGGAAATAAGGAAAAAAAGTCCTTCTCATTAATACCTGGACTTTTGGTGTGTTTTCTGTTCGGATAAGTAAGAGAGAGTAGTAGCCACAAACAGTGCTCAAAACTACTTTCGAAAAAAAGTAGTCCTTATTCAGAAATTCTTTGTCAGTCTTCTCTGAAGAAACTCAAAAACCCCAAACTTCTAGCTGACATTTCTGGCAGCTCTTTCGTACTTGGAAACAATTGGTGTTTCCAAGTATTCACCAAAGAGCTATCAAAGTTATACTGAAACAGTTTTGAAAGGCGTGGCTTTAAAAAAAAGCGTGTGTACACACACACACACACACACACACACACACACACATATAGACACATACACTTTTATATAATTATAAAACTCATAACTTAAATTCTAGGCTGTAACTCAGACCAGATTTTACCTAAAAGTTCTAACAGAGTTCGCTTTTCAGTATTTCATTACTGAAAGGATGGCTATAAATGAAATTTGGACATTTCATTGATTTTCTTTCCGAACCTAGAATCTCACTACCAGATTTTCCTGCCATTCCATCCCGCTCCCCTGAACACACACCTTTGTTACTGTGCACTCCAGCACCCCCAAATGCTTTTCTCTGGGAGGGGGTTCTTGCAGCTGGAAGCAGTCGATTTTGTGGATGGACATTTCGGCCCTTACAAAAAAGCACTGTGGCCTTATCTGTCAGGAAGGCACATACCTCCAAGTTTCATGAGAAATTTTAGAGCTAAACGCACTCCCCTCTCTCTGCACTAAGGTATATGTCGCCCTTTTCCCTCCCACACTTCATCTTTGCTGCTTTCGCTCTGGAACTTTGTTGGCAGGAAGGCAGCAGCCCTCAGAACGCCTGCATGGGGATCTACTCAGAATGCTTGGAACTGGGGAATCGGAGTGTATGCTCTGTCCCCTTGGGAGGCTCCATGATGCTGCTTCACATCGTGAGAGGCCACCCCTCAAGTCAGCTGTGGGTTTTGTCTCCTGCACTGCCAGTATGCAACTGATCCTGCTTTTATTAATTTTATGAGGTTCACAGAATTTTTACACAATGTAGTATTTTGATACCATTCAGTAATCCCAAAAAGAAAACTCCTTGGACAATAGTTGTTTTGTTGTTTAAGTTAAAATCATCTTTACCCAGTAAGACTTATGTTAACGTTCCTTTTATATAAAGAGTTGTATATGTCCACCTAAATTCCATTGTCCACATTCAACCTTCAGAGAGGTGCATTGGGAGAATATCAGAAAATAGAATTCATGGCTAAGATTGTGTAAAATGGAGAAAAAGCACAGCAAACTGCATTGCACTCAAATACGTAAAGCAAATCTAGTAGGAAAAAAGCACTTTTCTAAATGCTCAAATGTTATCAAAATACTATATTTATAGAAGTAATCCTCCCTCTGTTGACAGCCCAGATTTGCTGTTAGAAATAACTCTTGTGAGTTTTATATTGTGCTTTTTGAGGGTTCTAATCATTTCAGCAGTAGTATATTTTAAACAGCAGTATTACTATAAGCAGTGTGCTTCAGAATGTGAATTAACTTGTTGAAACTGTGGCTTTAACATCTATGTGATTAGTGTATATGGTATTTGCTCTCCCTTAGCAGAATTCATTATCTACTTCACTAGTGCAGATCACGGTTCTGTGAGCAATGTTTCCTATTGAGTATAAACTACTGTCTACAATATACATATCAGGCAGCAGCTCAGCCTTTATCAGGAAAACTATTTTTGGCACGTTGCTGAAAGGGCACAGAGTTCTGAAAGTCAAAGGTATGCTGCAAATAACTAGCCATTATTCTGTGTTATTAAAATATTTACCAGTTCTGTTAAAAGCAGAGCAGACATTAGACACTAAGGATCTCTTCGTGAATTCTTTGTTCTCTATAGTAGATTGCTGTTTATATGTAAGAATTTTATTGCTTATGTGGCATACAATATTTATAACTATATACTTTATAGAAATACAGTATTAAAGTCAGTGGTATACCAACATTCTGTACATATCCTGTGAAATGTGCTGTCATATGAAATAAATATACGTGTCTTTACCATGCTGACTGCTTTGCTCAAGAGGGAAGAATTTTTCTCAGCCACTTTCTTTGAACTTTTCGTATCCAAGTTTAATGACAATTGGGGATTAACTCGCATTGTCAAATCAGGTTATTTTAATTCAAGACCCTGTTTCATCTGTTTCACTTCTCCATGTAATACTCTAGAAGTAAGAAGACACTCTGAGACTATAAGTCATCATTAAGAAGTCCATGCGCTTACTCTGTAAGAGAGGCCCTCATTCCAAGTCTTCTTGGCTTGAAAATAACACTGAAGCAGGAACGATGATTTTTTCACCACAGCAAAAGAAACAAGTGGGGGGGAGAAGGGAGATAGGCCCAAGGACAGCCAGGCATAAGAGACTGACCTAAGAAGACCCAAAGTGCAAGGCCAAAAAAAGTGCAAAGGTTCTTCTGGGTATTGACTTTTTCAGTACTATATGATGGCTATTCAAGACAGTAGCCTTGATTCTCTTTATTTTTTTTAAAGATTTTATTTATTTTAGAGCAAGAGAGAGAGTGTGAGCATGGGGGGCGGGGCAGAGGGAGAGAGAGAGAACGTGAGGCAGGTTCCCTGTTGAGCACGGAGAGTCCACTGGGGGACTCGATGACAAACTCTGAGATCATGACCTGAGCCAAAACCAAGAGTCGTATGCTTAACCAACTGAGCTACCCAGGCACCCCTAACCTTGATTCTTAAATCACTGAATTATGTTCATTAACCTCTAAAAAGTTATAGGGAATGATAGGCTTTTATTTATTTTTTTAAGATTTTATTTATTTATTTGACAGAGATCACATTTAGGCAGAGAGGCAGGCAGAGTGAGAGGAGGAAGCAGGCTCCCTCCTCAGCAGAGCCCGACTCGGGGCTCGATCCCAGGACCCTGAGATCATGACCTGAGCCGAAGGCAGAGGCTTTAACCCACTGAGCCACACAGGTGCCCCGAGAATGATAAGCTTTTAAAAAAGAAACTTTTGATTTTGATGATTGAGATGTGTATATATATATATATATATATATATATATATATATGCAGTTGTAAGAAATAATACAGAGAGATCCCATGTCCCCTTTAAGCAGTCCCAATTCCCTGCGTGGTAACATTTTATAAAACCATAGTGTAATACTACCACCAGGACCTTAACATTGATGCAAAACAGTTCCATCGCCGGGAAGATCCTTTGTGTTGCCCTTTTCCCCGCTGCCTTCCCATCCCCTCTCCCCTCACTTGTCCTTAACTCCCTGCAACAACAAATCTATTCTCCATTTTTATAATTTTGCCACTTCAAGAGTAGTATGTGACCTTTTGGGATTGACTTTTTTTATTCTGCATAATTCTCTGGAGATTGATCTAAATTGCATGTGTCAATAGTCCTTTTTTTAATGATTTCATTTCTTTTGGAGAGAGAGCATTTATGTTAGAGCATGAGCGGGAGGAGGAGCAGAGGAAGAGGGAGAGAGAGAGAATTCCATGCCGACTCTGTGCTGAGGGCAGAGCCCAACACAGAGCTTGATCCCAGGACCCTGAGATCACGACCCGAGCCGAAATCCAGCATCAGACGCTTAGCTGACGGAGCCACCCAGGCGCCCCTAGTCCACTCCTTTTCATCACCAAGTGCCATTTCATGGTATGGATGTACCACGGCTGGTTTAACCATTCCCTCGCCCATCGAAAGACTTCTGGGTTGTTCCCAGTTGGGCGCTATTATAAATAAAGCTGCTACAAATATTCCTGTACAGATTTTTGGGTAAACATAAGTTTTCACTTCTCTGGGATAATGCCCGGGAGTACAGCTGGTGGATCATGGTGTAATTGCATGCTTGTATCTTTAAAAAACTGCCAAACTGTTTCCCAGAAAGGACTATTTTACATTCCCATCAGCAATGTATGAGTGAGCCAATTTCTCTGCGTACTTGCCAGCATTTGCGGTTTTTTGTTTTAGCCATTTTAGTGGAGGATATAACATTGTGGCTTTGTTTCCTTAAAAGCTGATCGTGGGGGGTGCCTGAGTGGCTCAGTGGGTTAAGCCTCTGCCTTTGGCTCAGGTCATGATCCCAGCGTCCTGGGATCGAGTCCCACATCGGGCTCCTTGCTCGGCGGGGAGCCTGCTTCTCCCTCTGCCTCTGCCTGCCTGTGCTCGCTCTCTCTCTCTCCCTCTGTCTCTGACAAATAAATAAATAAAATATTTGAAAAAAAAAAAAAGAAAAAAAAGAAATTTAACTTGTAGAGAAATTATAGTACACGTGGAGCAGGACATCCATTGTTTGTAATGGTACAAACCAGAAATACAATAAACACCTGCAGGGGAATGGAGTGACCTATTCATGCAGTGGAATACTATACAGCAGTGAAAACAAGTGAAGGCAATATTAGTAACTCTAATGAAGTTAGAATAAAAAAATAGTAAATCATTATGGAACCAATGGCAAGTTATCAAATAACACAGTAGGAACCATTTGTATAAAACTCAAAACAACGTCCTCTTTTCTTTAGTAAGACATACATGTGTTGATGGTAGAAAAACAGCCAATGGGAATGAGAAACTCAGGGTCGTATTTACCTGTAGAGAAGGGGAAGAAGAGAATGGAATCAGAGAGTGATATGTAGGAACTTTAACTGTATTTTTAATGTGTTAGGGCTTTTAAAAAAATTCTTTTTTTCAATATACTAAAAATGTGTTCTTTTCTTCCCTGGCTGCCTGGTATCTAGCAGCACTCATGAATGACCTATTAATTATCTAGCCCTCAGCAGTCATTATTAATGGATTGCTTCATTAGATACAAATGGTCCAAGATACCCTTCACCCTAGAAAGGCAACAGTACCTAAAATATTCAGAGGAAAGTTGCCAAACTGCACAAGAGCACACAGATCTCACGTTTTGTCTGAAAATTCAGAACCCACTTCCGTGGTGGCCAGACGAGATTTTGGAACAATTTATGACCACCAGAAACACACTGAGAAAAAGCT